ATAAAACATACATATTAAAAATGGAGAAAATATAGGTAAAAGTGTTTTATTGGGCACTGGAAATCTGGAGGCAGAAATATTTTGAGGGGCACTTAGCCTTAACCTTCCTTTTCTCCCACAGTTGCAGGTGTGGTCTTGTTGGTTCCAAGTTTGTCTCAAGCATCAAAAGAGCCAGATGTGTGTCCCCATTCCTGCATAGGGTGGTAAACTCTTCTTGCATGATGATGTAAATCTCCAAGTATAATAGGGTGGTATCATAGCAAGAATTATGCTTCTCAGATCTGGAAAGATTCTAATTTTATGTGGGCAGCACCACTGGCAGTTGCAAAGTCCTCATAATATGAAAAGAAACTATGCCGAGACACACAGCATCAGTCCCCTTTGTGTGGTCACCTTGCTTAGAAAAGGATCTGACCTGTTAACCGATCACATCGGGAATTTACCTTTCAGTTGGGTGTACGTTTATATATTATGATCCACCAGAAACCCAGACTTGGGGTTGAAGGAAAAACACCTTCCTCCACCACAGGTTTGGGATGTGGCATCAGGGTGTGGAAGGAGGGCTTGGTGGCCTGGAGAATAGTTCTCAGTGTGAGATCTATGGGGCCGCCAGGGAATTCTCAAAGGGAGTTGGAAAATTCCATGAGGAGAGCCCAGATTTTAGGTCCTGGCCTAGGACTTCACACCTGGGATGATAAAGTGGGGGAGCAGGATCTCCTGAGAACTCCCTGGAGCCCCCTGATAGTCCATGGCTTGCTGAGCAGAGAGAACTGTTCCTCAGGCTGTCAATGTGCAGCGGTGAATGGACCAGAGATAAGCATTAGCAGCCACTCACCCGGCTCTCTAGTGAAACTGTTGAGAAGAAAGAGGCAGAAGGGTGCTGCTTAACTGTAGCATGTAACTGTAACTGTTGTAACGTGTGAAAATTAATTTTTGCTTTTCTAGAGAAAGCTTTCTGAAAAGGAGAACCGTGACCTTGGAGCTCTGTGATTTGTGAAAATGGAGTTTTTCTTTTTTGTAAATAGTGTTCAGAAGCCATGGGAATAGAGACTTCTAAGTGAAAAGTAAATGGACTGGATTGGAATATGTAATCTTTAGACAAATGAACTCAAGTGCTAAATAACTAAATTCTGGGTTTCAGGTACAATTTTGCTTGGGAGAAGAGTGTTGTGGGGCTGGGGCCAACAGAGAGAAAAGGAGCGGGGTAGCACATGTGGAGTCTAAGAGTCAGATGTCTCAGGGAAAAATTTCCTTGTGGGCCACTTTAGAATATTGTCTTGAGGCCAAGACATCAGCGGGCTTTTGAGGGAGCCCAGACCCAGCCAGGCTGGAGAGGCTGAGAGAGGTGGTAGGAGGGATGGGGTGAAGCCAGAGGACCCCGTGGGAGACTGCACCCCACAGGTTCCAGTAGGCAGAGAGGACCCTGAGAGGAAGGAGGGGCAGGAGTGCAGAGGGGGAGCTGGACGACCTAGAGGGGCCGCCAAGGAAGTGCAAGCCGGGTGAGGCTGCCCCAGCACAGCCAAGCGCAGTCAGCTTGCCCTGACCTCCGCCCCAGGAGGCTGGCAGCCTTTCGTGGAGTAGCCACAGAATGGCCTGGGGGTGGGCAGCACTGACCATCGCCCGGGCAGGAGCAGCCCCGTCTCCTCTGCTCAGTGCACAGGGCAGGCTGGGGGCAGGGGGATGCCTTCATCCACTGTCCGTGGGACTTGAAAATGAACACCTCTCAGATCTCAACACAAAATAGTTTTCTGATAGCACTTGGGGATATTTTCTGACCTTCTCAACTAGCTTTTAAAAAGGTGAGACTAATGAACTGCTGTATTTAATATATATATTTTTATTTATGTATTTAGTATATGTATTTAATATATATTTTATATATGTATTTAATAATATGTATTTAATATATATTTTTATCTAAAGACTTTTATAAAATTGAAGTTCAATATTAAAGCCGCCTGACATAAAAAATAAAATGCAGATGGGCAAAAGAGAGGGGAATGGGGGACATCTGTAATAGTGTGAACAATAAAATAATTTTTTTTCTGAGACTTCTTTACACCATCTACTTCAGTGCGGTTTGTTTGAGTCCATACCTCCATGCCAACCAATAAAACCTTAAGACCCATCACATCGTAAAGGGAATCCGCTATATTCACCATATCGATCTTCCTGCAACGTTGAGACTTTTTTTTTCACTGAAGATGGAGGGTATTGTCAACCACCACTGCTATTTCAATAAAATATCTATGGGCTCACCAGCCCTCATAAGAAAAAAAAGACAGTTGACACGACAACCCATGGAAATTAAGAATTTAAGGAGAATTTTAGATTGCAATCCAAAAGCATGTATTTGCTGGCATTTCCCTCTTCTCCTGAAGATGTCGCGCTAAGATCCTAGATGACCTGTGCCTGGGGCTGGCTTCATGGACATGCACCTGTGAGCCTCGTGGGGCCCCATGCTCAGAAGAGCCCTGCGCTTGCTACAATGTTCTGCTGTTGCTGTCTTATAATTTTTAATGAATTTTGAACAGGGCACCAGGAGATTTCATTTTGCACTGCGCTCTGCCCATGCTCTGTTCTTCAGTGTCCTCAGGAGAGCCCTTCCTCCTCTTTGTTAGGCAGTGATGCTTGAGAAATGCTTGTTGAAGCAGAATGTCTGAATTGCAAAGTTTGGAGCCTAACCCATGATGCTTGATTAAAAGGTCAATAAAGAAAAATAAAAGGAAATTTTTAAATGTAGGGGCAACATAAAAATTAGAAAGAGAAGCCTGGTAGTTTAAAAAAAAAGATATTGGATGGTTGTATCAATAAACTATCATATCAAAACACTGTACAGATACTTAGTACAGATCAAGGTAAAGTGAGTTGACAGCATGAATTCATGACCTTTTAAGAAAACATATTTTTCTTCCATTTTGTCACGGAAGTGGCTACAGTCCCTGTGTTACTCTGCTCTATCTCTAGAGCGCATGTGAAATAGGATAATGTACACTCAAGCACTGAGATTTTGGTCTCTCGTACGAATTACTGCTTAAAATAATCAGAGTTTTGTGGAGAGCAGCTAACTCCATGTTTATGTAGAAAGATTGAGGATGAACTTGGGGCATTGTGTAATTTTATTCCTTGCAAATTCAACCATGTATTTTTAGGTTAGCAAAGGAAAGATACTTTGTGAAAGAAGTAGGAACAGCGAGAGCCAATGTGGATTTACTTTCTAAAGACAGATAACTCCCACTTTATTAAGTTCACAGTGGAGGGGAGTGATCTTGATTTTAGCAAATCCCCTGACAAAATCATGTGATATCCTGTGGGTAGATAAAGAATGCACAGGGGATTTCAGGACAACGACACGGATTCAGACCTCACAAAGACAAGAGACTAACAGATGAGGTACACATGGGCAGGAGGAATGCAATGGCATTTAGGAAGGCCTAATCCTTGATTCTTTTTTATTTAAAATTTCGATCAATAATTCAAATGATGACATGCTTATAAAATTTAGAGATGACACAAAGTCTCGAGGGTAAGCCAACGTGCACTATGAAACAACATTCCAAAAGGTATCTTCAGGTTGGAACAATGTATGAACAGGAATCACTTGAAATTTAATAAGAAGTAACATAAAATCACACACCTAGATTTTAAATATGGAAACAGTGCATAATGAGAAACACCTAATTTAAAAAAGTTTGTACAAGAAAGACCCAAAGTTGTTAGTTAATTGAAAACTCAAAATGAATCAACAGTGTGATATGGATACTTAAAAAAAAAAGAAAAAGAAATGTTATCTTAGGCTGTATTATTGAACTATTTGTATCAGGGGTCAGAAAACTTTCTCTGCAAAAGTAAATTCTAAGGCTTTGCAGGCTATACCGTCCCTGTCACGACTCTCATTTCTGCTGCCCTAGCACAAAAGCAGGCAGAGAAAATACATAAAGGAATGAGTGTGACTGTGTTGCAGTAAAACTTTATTTATGGACACAAATTTGAATTTCAGGTCATTTTCACATGTAATGAAATATTCTTTTGATTTAAAAAAAAAAACACATTTAAAAATGTACGCCCCTGCATCCCACTCCCCCAAAGTAAAACCCATTCTCCTTTGGGCTGTACTGAAACAGGTGGCAGCTGGATTTGGCTGGTGGGCCATAGTTTGCTGACCTTGGTCTATATCAAAAGACACTGGCCCAGCTGGAGTGGCTCAGTGGTCGAGCATCGACCTATGACTCAGGAGATCAAGGTTTGATTCCCGGTTGGGGCACAAGCCCGGGTTGTGGGTCTGATCCCCAGTCAGGGGCGTGCAGGAGGCAGCCAATCAATGACTCTCTCATCATTGATGTTTCTCTCTCTCTTCCTCTCCCTTTCTCTGAAATCAATAAAGACATATTTTTTTAAAAAAAGGCACTGTACTCTGCCTTGGTCAAAATACTCCTGGGTGAATGAGGGTCACTTAAAAATTAAGTATTTCTCAAGGGTAATGATCCTGGAGGATTTTGACATACTTAACTCTATAGAAGGGAAAACTAAGGAGAACCATGGATATTGAAAAATACCTGTGCTCTGGCCTGGTTGTTCACTTTGGTTACAGTGTCATCCCCATAAACCAAGGTTTCAAGTTCAATCTCCAGTCAGGGTACATACAAGAAGCAACTAAGGAATGCATAAATGAGTAGAAAAACAAATTGATCTCTTTCTCTTTCTCTTAAATCAATAAATTAAAAAAAAGAAAGAAAAGTAAATGAGGAGCAGTCACATGTGAACAGAGGAAGATACTTAACCTGTGTTGTTCAGCAGACCAAGAATGATGACAGGAAGTTAACCGGGAGGCAACTTAAACTTAGCATAAGAAAAATTTTTCTATCAGAGCGCCCCATCATAAAATGGGTTGCCTCTTAAACTTGTTTAATGGCCATCTTTTGAGAGTGCTGCTGCAGGGATTTTCCACAGTGGATGAGAATTGGTAAAAGATTCAGAAATGTTTATTAAGCAAATCTAACCTTCAAAAATCCTCAGAACCTCTTGATTAATATACTTCTTTATTTCTTCAAATGAAACTGCATCAGCCTAAAGAAGAAGACGAAAAAAAAGGTCTGTTAAAACAGAGCACAGCAGAAATGAATAGAGAATAGAAATATTGGGTTGCTATGCATACTTGAAGCTTCTGTAGAGATACATTTATCAAGCAAAATGCTTTTGGCCACTGACTATATTAAGCAATAAATATCTTTTGTTTTGATCAAATGCTAGAAAGAAGTAGAAGTGCATAATTACTTTAAAAGCTGTGGGCTGAAATCATAACGAGTGATGTGAACATATTTCCTATTAAATGGACAGATGTGGCTTCACATAATCAGGAAAGACATTTCATATTACTTCATTTTCTGAAGTTACAGAACTTGAACAGTGTTATCATGATGTTAATATCCCAGGCACAACTTAACCCCTAACGAATCCCTGAATGACTGGTAAAGTCATTATCTAACTGATACTATGTATCTTTAAAGGAAGCCAACCTGGAAGAGAACTCCAGGCATCTGGATTATTCTTTAAGATGTTTTATGCACGGGATAAAGCTTACTAGGTTTTACCCATTTCACGGTAAAGTTCATTCCGTAATTTATATTTTGCAGCCATATTTGTATTAAGCACAATTTTTAAAAGAGAAAATGCAAGTAGGTAGATGATGTCAGCTGAATTTTTAACTTTACATGACTTGGACAAGGAATCTAACATTTACAACAGTAATGTTTTACTGTAGACCTTGATATTTTAAAAGGGAGCTATCATTTTTTCATGATGGTTAGGATTTCAAAGTATTTTATTACTCTTATTTGTATTTGGTGGTTATTATCCAGGGGTGTGGAATTAAAGATGATGTGATGGGCCCAGAAAGTGATGCTTTCTGTTAGGACACAATGGTTGCAAGAATGCCCTATTTCAACATTTTATTTTCACTGTGGATGACACAAATAAACTTGAGTTAATGCATCTAATACCAACTATTGACATAGCGCTGAGAGGCCACTCTACAGGCTTTATTTAAGTAGAGCTTAGGGGGAGTGAGTAAAAATCAAGAAGTATGAAAACTGTGGGAATGCTCAGTTTGGCCCTCTATCTGGTAATGACTGATTATCTGAAGGCAGCATGTCCTTAACTCCCTGACCTCACTCCAAAACTCCCTTTTCTTCTTGACATGGATATTTTCAGATTAATATGGAATGGCCGTCCACCATGCCTCCTGAGGATACGAATAAAAACATGGGCTTCTTTATCCAAACACTCTTGGCCCAACTGGTCTCCACTTCAGAGCACTACTCAGAGCAGATCTGTTGTTCTGATATTCAACCAAATGATGTTTTAATAGGAAATAGACATCGGTATGTATTTTCTGTGTAGTGGAAGGAGACATTGTAGATAGTATTTAAGAGTATGGCTTTGGAATCAGTCAAGCCTGAGTCTGACCCAATAAATAACTGTGACCTTGGACAAGTCAACTCTCAGTTTCTGCATTTGTGAGAGAGAGCTGGAAAGGATATCCATCCTCCTGGGTTCAGTGTGAGGATCCAGCGAGGTCATACATAGTAAGTGCTTAGCAGAGGGTCTGGGACATAATTTGAAAGAAATGACAGCTATTGTACCCTCACAGAGACAACTTTAGGTTCATTTCATTTATTTTGAAAGAATTATTATTGCTTTCATGGGAAAAGGGATATGTGGTCAGTACCAGCCAGAAGCTCTCGAGCTCTCAGTACCACTTACTGGAGTGCCAGGGATGCCTGGATTGCCCGGAGGGCCTTGGTGCCCAGGAGATCCCACAGAGCCCTTGTTTCCTGGTGGCCCCATAGGACCTACGGCTCCCTTCGTGCCTGGAAGTCCTGGTTTTCCCTGTTCACCTTGTGGACCTCTGTCTCCTGGAATTCCCTGGTCACCCTGTTAAGGAAAAAAGAGTAAAGAATGATCTCTTCTACAACTGCAACAGCTGTGGTTAAGAGCAAAGGGTCTGGATTGATACTGGCACTTACTTGCTGTGAGGCCTTGGGTAAGTGAACTACATTCACTGTGCCCAAGCTTCCTCTCCCGGAAAGTGAGGATAACAATAGCATCCACCAAGCAGGGTGATGCTGAGAAACAAATGAGTTAACTCAAGCGAAGTGCTTCAAACAACGCCTGGCATGTTGAAAGCACTCAGTAAAAAGGTAGTGACAATGTCAGTTGTACTCAGTCTCCAGTCTAAAATAATGACAATTTTGAATGTCAATAGCAGCTGTCACTTCAGGCCTGGGTCTCCTTTGCAATAACAAAGGAAGATCACTAAGTGGATTTCATCACTGAGATTTTTCACTCAGAAAAACTTCAGGACACTCAAAATACCTCCTGAATCATGTACTTTTCTTTTTTCCTGCTTGCTCTTGTACATTTGGTCTATTAGATTCTGTGGGTTGGTTTCTGTACATATGTTTCGTGTGTGTGTGTTAGAGAGAGAGAGAATGAGAGAGGTAAACAGATAGATCATGGCAGGTGTTTCATTTATAGATATTTCAAATACTCAGCTCCACTTCTCTATGAGGTGATGATCACACCAAATACGATGGAATGGTGCATGGGGGCTGCTCTGTATTTCACTGTATTATTCTTTTACTTGTGGCTTCTCTGCTAAAGTCCAGACTCTATTTCTCTTGATTAAAAAATAATGAAGACAAATGAACAATTATAGAGATCTATTTGATCATGGAATAAAGAAGTGCAGAAGGAAGCCATGTAGAAAGAAGAAAAATAGATGGAGCTAACTTCAGTGTTAGTGTCCTAGTTATAAAAATGTATCTGCACACAAGTATATCAATGTGGATCACAGTTGGAGAAAGAGCTGAGATTATTAATATAGAAAAGAAATACTAGCATACTTTGATTAATAGCCTGATCATGTGCAAAATAAACACAATCTTTAACAATTAAAATTATTTTATAATTTAGGGACAAAGATGTTCATTCATTATAGTGATGCTTATAATATGAAAACTGGGAAAAAGCTAAATACCCCCCAAAGGGGGACTGGGTAAGTGAAATAAGATATAGCCCAACAGTGGAACAACATGTAGCCACTAACTGGTAGCTGCAGGTATATTTACTGAGATGGAAAGGTAGTCATTACATATTATTAGGCAAAAAAAGACATTTACCAAAAAATTATGACTCCACTTTTGAAAAACGTATATATTCATTTGTATTGATTCATTAAGTATATGTGTATGTTAAGTAAAAGCTAGTAAACTATACACCGGTTCACAAACACACGCACGCGTGCACACACACATACACTAGCAGCTCTGACTAGAATCCCACTAACAACGCTTGAGGAACCTGTTGCAGGGAATGACTCCAGTTCTCCCAGGAAATGTTCAGGCTCATTGAGAAACATAGTGGGAGGTTGGAATAATGATATTAACAACCAGAACGCTTAAAATGAAAGCATACCACATAGATGGCACACCTAGTAACTACAGAAGTTCAGTGGCCCTTTCCATTTCTCTCCCCCTCACCCCCCCCTTACTCGATTTAGTATCCCACTAGGTCAGGGGACCTCAACTAGGGCAACTTTTTCCCCCGGGAGGCATTTAGTGATGTCTGGAGACCTTTTTGGTTGTCATAATTGGAGAGAGGGTGGTGCTACCTCATCTAGTAGACAGAGGCTAGGGGTTCTGCTGAACATCCTACAGTGCACAGGACGGCACCCACAACAGAGAATTACTGCCCCAAATGCCAACAGGCTGAGGCTGAGAAGCCCTGCTCCCTGCAGAAAGAACACGGGTGATGGTCATGGTAGGGATAAGTGTCTGAGACAGGAGGGCGATAAAGCTTTCCACCCGAGCAGCCAGCTAGGCCTAGCTGTGCAGAAAAGCCAGCCGGGGGGTGTGCCTGCCCAGGGCCTGCTTCTGGGCCCTTGGATCGTCCTGTGCTGCGTCTAGCAGGCATCTAGGATCACATACGCGCCACCCTTTTCACTCTGGGAGGTTTGCAGGGCGTCTACATACATCGTTGTGAACTCAAAGGATGGGACAGTTGTAGCAAACGGGCTTAACAATCAAAATAGGGATATACATACACGTTCTCCTTTGGGGCCTCTGTCTCCAGGCTTACCCACGATACCCTGGAAAACACGTCAACACGAAAAGTCACTGCTTGCCAAGACTGTCCCTCAGCCTGCTCCCTGAGGGACTCTGCTGGCAGCTATTCTGCGACTGTGCATCAGAACATTTATTTTAAATGGTGTTTTCCATACCTGAGCACCAGGTAATCCATCTTTTCCATTTATTCCCTGTAAAGACAAAACATGATTCATATTTCCAACCCCGCACCGACAGACATGGTTAAACACAACAGAAGGACAGCGTTCCAAGGCCTCAGTCTCAGGCCCACAGAGATCTGGCGGCGCAGTGGTGAAATGGGAAGCAAAATCGGTAGGATCGGATGGCCCCGGGTCTAAATTCTCACTCTGCCACCTAAAAGTGCCGTTTACTCAGGCAGTTTACTTAACCTAATAGCATCGGCGTCTTCACTTATAAAATGGGGACAAAATAATGGCCTTAAAACTAAGGATTTGGTGAAATAACAGAAAACGCCTCGCTCATTGTGAACAGGCAACGGGGCGATTTTCCTGACTTACTCTCGTAGGTACATTCTGAGAAATAAGAAGGTGCCCCAAAGGGCTGGGTGTCTGGTGTCTGGCATTTATTGCTACCTCCTGACAATTTTTTCCATCACGAAGAGTCAATCTCAGTAAATGGTCTCGGTTGCTGCTAGGGAAATTTCATAACGTGGCCAGAGCATGATCTTAATAGGAAATAAACTGTCAGCCCGAGAATGATTGTTATTTTTCAGCTGGAAAATATGAAGGGAAAGTAAGGAATCTATAATCACTGTTTCTGAGAGTGTTAAATAGTGGCTTTTTATTACTAAAGTGGAAGTTTCCTGAACTTTATAAGGCAGTTCTGGAGGTGGTAATAAAGCTCGGAGATTTATAAGACGGGGAGAGCTATTGGCTGGGAGATGTGAGAAGGAAAAGCGCTTGGGGGTCAAATGAAATACCTAGAGTCCAAGAGCAGATGTGTTTTCGAGATTTGATTTGAAGAGGGAGATCAAGGGGAAGAAAGTGATTTCCCAGCCAGCAGGCGATTGCATGGACATGCTCCTTTGAAAAGTCGAGGAGACTTTTATTGTGCGCCAGGGAATGGATTCTATGAGGAACTGCAGACAGCCGCATGTTTTCACTGCTGTAAATTACACTAAAATCTGTCACAGCTGAGAGCCCAACCAAAGTCCCCTGGCCTCTCTGAAAGATCCTGGGAAACGTCTAGAGCACTTTCCCTGGGAACATGTTACCTGAAGTGTATGGTTCACAGAATTTATGACATTCAGAAACACAAGCAACAAAGATAAAGCTGATTAAGGAGAGGATGTGAAAGAAACAACTGTGTCACTTGAATAAAAGAAGATAGATCTAGTGTAAAAATGTAATTCATGTCTTTGGTAATAATATAAGAAAGGAAACAACCCCTATAGTCTTTTTTCTTTTGACTCTTATAATTCATCAAAGACTGTGCTGTGTGTTCTCTTTTGCATCTGAAGGTGTTACTAACTCGCTTTCCATAGGGGGTCCTGCTTCCAGAGATGTTTACAATAACCTATGTGGACTGCACCTGCTGTTCTCTGCCCTCATCCCACTTGTCTGGAAGAACCCATTCTGGGTAGAACCAACTTTCTGTCTACTGCACATCTGCATCTGAGCAGCGAACTGCAGCTGAAGAAGACCACACATCCCTGCTCACTTGTCCCAGTCTAGACGCAGGGTGGAGATGGAAGCAGCCCCTCTGCATCACCGGGTCACCCTCCTGGACTTCCCGATTTGACTCCCTTTCCCTCTCTTCAAAGGTTCGCGTTCACACATTTCCTTATCTCTTCACAAGTCCAGCCTCATCATCTCACTCCTCATGTTCAACTGATGACCCCGATTCTTCTTCCACTGAGGAAATAAACAGGAGAGGACCACTTCCCCCTCCCTCCAACAGATCCACCAGCTACATGCATTTGTATTTCGACTTCTGCCTCCTGTTAAAGAGGAACGAACTGCCCCATTCCTTGTCAAGACCAGTTTCCATTTGTGAGTGGAATACCAGTCTTCTCCTCCTACCCAGAGTTGCTGCGCTCTCTTACATCACCAGAATTTCCCCTTGCAACTGGATCATTCTTATCTAGGAGCTAACATGCTGGAATCTCCCCCACCACGACCTCCACATTGCAAAATCCAGTGGAAAATTATCAGCTCTCATGTCACTGATCTGAGTGTTTACCATTTCTTTCTTTTAGTTTTAAAATAATTTTTAAATTATTTATTGATTGGAAAGAGAGAGAAACATCAACTTGTTGTTCCACTGATTCGTGCATTCATTGGTTGATTCTTGCACGTGCCCTGACCGGGGATCAAACCCTCAACCTTGGTGTATCAGGATGATGTCCTAACTGGCTGAGCCACTTGGCCAGGATGATCTTGCCTTTCTTTTAGAACATTTAGTCCCCTTGCCAGGCAGGCCTCATTCACCTGGGTCTCTTCATCTCTCATTGGCTGCACTTTCTCCGTCTGCGAGGTGCTTTCCCCAGCAGCTGAGGCCCTCTCTTCCCTTCCTTGTTGCAGTGACCCCGCTTCATCCAGGCCCAGGTCGAAATACCCAGACCAGTCTTTCTAGTCCCGGACCTTCCATTAATTCCAGATACTTATATCCATGGATTACTTGACATTTCCCCTTGGCTATCTACTAGCACTTCCAGATGAACGTGTCTAAAACAGACAAGTCTTGGTTTTTCTCCCCCCAAACCACCCATCTCCAGTCTTCCCCATGTCACCAAACACACCACTCTGACAGGGAGACAGCTTTCACCCGTCTCCCTCACACTCCACGTCTTGTCCTTTCCTCCCCCAACCTCCCTATGGCTTGATTTCCCTCTTTGTGCAAGTTTTGCTCAAATGGCATGCCTTCTTTGACCACCCTATGAAATGCTACTCTAGTACTTCGCCCTGTTTAGATTTCTTCTGCCTGAAATTGCATCTTTAATTGTTCATTGTCTGTGTCCCAGTCCTAGAATGTAAGCCCCATGAGTTGCTAGCTCCCCAAACAGTGGCTAGCACGTAGTAGGTGCTCAAGAAATACTTATTGAATCAACAAATTGCTTTTTGCTTATTGCACTGGGAACCCAATGGTAAGCATTCATGAGATGGCATTCAGGGGTTGGAAATGGGAAGTTGGTAAGAGAAAGTGAAGGGGGAGGCAGGGAATGACACTAATGTTTATCAAGCACCTCGCATGGGCAGACACTGGAAATGCTAACCCTAAGTGATGTTACTTACGTGACTCACAATACCCTTTGAGTCATAATTCAAACCCAGACCTTCCTAACGCTACATCGCAGAGGCTTCCCATTCCTTCATGTCGCCTTCTCTGGGGAAGTGGTAGTCAGGGAACATACCGGCCCTGAAGGTTTCACAAAGATACTCAATTGGCCTCATGAACTCTGTGCTGCTTGTTTATGTTCGGCACTCTCTTCTCCTAATAGCACCCCCTTTCCGCACACACCACAGCAAATAAACTAGCAAAGGAAGCAGTGACCTTCTATAAAGAAAAAAACCTGAGACTGGGGTATGTCTTTTTCATCTTTATATCCCCTCCCTCAGGGCCCAGCACATCCTTAGCAAACAGCAGGGACTAGATGAATATATGTTGAATTGAATTAGTAGGAATGATTGTTACAATGTCACAGCAGTACTATATATCAGTAGCCAGGAGCTCTTCAGGACACAGGGGGATGATATATTTGGCAGCAGTGATTTACAAAAGTGTAAGAACAAGGCCCATAGACAAAGGAGGGAACCTGAGAAAACAGCTTCTACTTTAGTCTTTAGCTTGACACACAGGTATTATATCTGTGAATCTTCAGTTTCTTTATATTTTAGGATGTGATGGGCCATTTTATATTTTAACTCCAATGAGAACATTAGGCTTAAGAAATAATGAGTCTAATTTCCTGACACTTAAAACGAAAAGAATCTCAGCTTTCTCTCCCTGTGTAAGATATAAAGATACCTCGCAGAGAGCCAGGACACTCGGGAGAACCACACCCCAAAATCCATTTGCAGAACCTGCACTTACTTCCTCAGAAACTACATATTTAATTCTGACATTTTCTGAGGAGATAGGTGAAGAGGCAATGCTGAAAACATTTCTCAAACTGGCAAATTTTAAACTGCAGAAGTTCTTACTGGCTTTCCCAAGGGTCCTTCCGGTCCAGGGAAACCGATGTCTCCAACAGGTCCTCTCTCACCCTGCAGACAAGTTCACGAGCATTAATAGCCAAGAAAAGCTTTAAAACTGCATGCAAATATGCATCTAAATTCTTTGGTTAATCTCTTCCCATCCACCCACCCACCCCCGCCTTCCCTCTGAGATCCTTCAGTCTGTTCCATGCTTCTATGTCTCTGAATCTATTTTGTTCATCAGTTTATTTTGTTCATTAGATTCCACATATGAGTGAGATTATGTGATATTTGTTTTTCTCTGACTGGCTTATTTTTCTTAGCATAATACTCTCCAGGTCCCTCATCCATGGACACAGACAATAGTGTGGTGAAGGCCTGGGAAGGGGAGGAGGGTCCAGGGTAGGAGGGGGTATTGGGGAAAAAATGGGACATCTGTAATACTTTCAATAATAAAGAAATTACAAACAACAACAACAACAAACTGCATGGAGCACAGACAAGTACAACTGTTGGTAACTAACTCACCGGTTCCCCTGGAGCTCCTGGAGGCCCCGGGGCTCCAGGTTTCCCCTGGGAATTCAAACCAAGGAGACATGTTAAGAGTCAAATTACTGAATGATGCCACGTGCCTAAGCCCCCACCCCACCCGTGAGTTTAATGCGCTGCCAGGGCTGAGGCTCTCTACACTTAAATGGCACTCCTAGTGGGACAGAGTCCCAGGGACCCGGCCTCAACCCTGCAGGCGCTTAGGTAAGGACCGGGTCCAGTTCTCTGAAAGTGCATGTGTGTGTATGTCGGGCGGGTAGGAGGGAAGGATAAGAGTCTTAAAAATATTAAACAAATGCATCCTCTTTTCTGGAAATCCCGCTAGTGCCTATTGAACTGGTAGTTCTTTACTTTAGGGGGTGGGAGGGCACAGGGGGTCAAGGAAACCTCTGATCTTCACAAGAGCATTTCTAAGTTTATAGTAGGATAGCCCCACAAAGAGCATGCCTGATTCGAAAGCCGTGTTTTGTTGAAAGGGAGAGGACAGGATTGATTTGTTCTGACACACATCAATAGATATGGCCTGGAGCACCGGCAACAGGAAAACCCTGGGGTGGAGAGACCACAGGGTGAGGAAGATGGTCCTGCAGGGTCTGGGGGTGGGAAAGTGCAAAGGTGTCCAGGCTCGGCATGAAGATGATGTCTTCTGTCCCTTGGACCTAATGTGAGGGAATCTAAAAAGGGAGGGCTTTTCCCCTACTTGCTGTTTAGAATTTTGGGAGGAGACCCTCTCCCAGGTGAAGAAATGGCTGAGCAGCGAAGCTCGGCAGACGCCAGGCCTGAGAGAGCAGCCCTGGCCTCCCTTAGCCGGTGGGCAAACAGGAGCTCCTGAGGTTGGGGCTGAGAAGGCCAACCTCCGAAAGGGTCTGGGTGTGGGACAGAGTGCTTGAGCCTTGATATCTGAGACAAACAGATCAGGGACATTGAGAGTGGGCAGCAGCAATCCCAAAGATCTCAGAGAGCAGAGGCGTGGGGGTGGAGGGGTGCGTGCTGACCAGAGGCCCTACCCACTGCCAGCCCTGACAGATGCTTCCTTCTGTGTCCCCACATGCCAGCCTTGCAGGAGGGGGGAGAAAGAAGGCCTGGAGAAACCCCTGGCCTGGCCTGAGTGTACTAGGAAGGGAGAGCCTGGTTTGTTCTGGGAAGTGCAGGATTTGGTTCCCTCGGTACTCAGCAGACTGACCATGATGGGTCTGACCAGGTACGTTTCAACCAGAACAATCACTTTAAAAATTGTTTTCTTACTGTGGTTAAGGTCTACATAACATAAAATCTACAATTTTGAACATTTTCAAGTGTAAAATCCAGGGGTATTAAGGATATTCACACTGTTGTGCAACTATCACCACTATTTCCAGAATCTTTTATTTTATTTTCTAAGCCATCATCAGGCCCAGTTATAAAAAACTGCTGTGTGTTTAATTACACCGCTGTGTATTTTCAGGGAGCAAAATTTTTACCCCTTCTCGATTTTTGTAATTGGCAGTTTATCTTAACTATGAGATAAGAAAACTGTATTTTACCCCTTATTTCAATCATTCTGCAGCCTTCAAAAATCTCTTTAGAATTCTTCATTTGGATTGAGTCTGTGGTATCTTTTAAATACCTTCAAAGGTTGTCAATGTTTCTTCTCTGAAGAAAGATTTAATTTAGGGTAAGAGTCAAAAGTGACCTGTAGCACACCTGGGAGACTACAGAGGGGCATTAAGCCTCCTTGTGCCCCGTGGAAACAAAGACGGGGTGTGAATGAACAGTGGAGGTGCAGGTTGTAAGGGGACTCGGGGCAATTCCAGAAACTGAGCTCCAAATCCGTTGCTAGGAATGGTAGTGAGGGGGGAGGGGGAGGAATGAGATAAAGTGTGAGCCAACTTTCAAAAAGAGCACTTTCTTGTATAAAAAATTCCGTAGTGCTCGCTAAAGAAAATATTTCCGTGCTACTTTTCAATCATACTAATATTTTAACTTGAGCTAGAACAGCTCAATAGACATCATCCTTTGTAAAGGATGACTTTCTGTGGACTGTGGACGGGCTTTAATAGTTGTTATTAGATTTAGCAACTAAATAGAGTGAAGTAATGTGGCTACTGGCCTTTTAAGTGGTGGGATGGTGGTGGAGAGGAAAGTGCCTGGAGGCAGGGGCTCTGGGTGGTGCTGGGTGGTGCAGGGTGGTGCAGGGTGGTGCTGGTAGGGCCTCTTTATCTTTCTCATGTTCAAGCACATGGTTTCCATTGACTTTCCTATCCTGCACCTACACGGCAGGGGCGCCGAGCAGGGGGATAAATGGGCTGTTATTCATAAAGCATGACCACAAAATTTTAATTAGAGCATCATGAATGAAGACCAGAATGATCCCGAGGGCTCAGAGAAATGATTTCAACCTTTCCTGGAGCACTTTCTATTCACTTGAAAAGACCTTGATGAGATTAAAACATTTGACATCAGAGAGCAACAAAAATGATTGATATGATTGAAGGGCTAGTTTATGAGGAAACATTAGCAGCAATAAAGCTCAGCTAATAACACTGGGCTGAGGAAAATCTCAGGCAGATTGCCGTTTAATGCAAAGAACTTGAACTGCATGCCTGAGGATGAGAGCTGTGCCTTCAAAGAACCAAGAAACCCTGACACATGTCAAAGGCAGAGAAACAAAACAAACTTCTCAAAGCTGTGCTTGTATGTTAATGTATCCTCACAGGTAAGTGGGCTCCTTCCGCCCCACTTAGTGAGTTGGGAAGAAAAAAAATAAGAAAAAAATAAGAGGTGAAAATGAAGAAAGGAACATTCTTGAGGTGGGAGAAGGGCAGGTGGTTTTATTTTTTAAACTGCAGGTCTCGGGAACTTGGTGTCATAGGAGTTAGTTACCACATGCTCCCTACTTCTTCTCGATCCCCAGCTGTAGGTTTACTGTGGAGACAGAACTGTTCACCTCAGAAAATAACGTGAGATAATTTGGACTCACCAGCATGCCAGCTATTCCTGGGGGACCTGCTGGGCCTCGATCTCCCTGTTGGGGTTTAAAAAAAATTGGTACTTATAATGATATCTATAAAATCTTTACCTGTAAATTAGAACTCAAATAATTATCTAAATTTGGTAAAGTTTTTCTTTGGAATTGATAAATATTATCAATATCAGCTGGTGTAAAGCGAGAGGGTAGATGGGAAAATAACAAAACGAGTAGCCAACTGAACCTGTTAGCTTTCTTTTTCTCTCTCCATAAAACTAAAGCAAATAATCTTAATGAAAAGAAATTTACATGACCTGTTTTTAATAGGACTCTATAGATACTTACAGCTAAAAATTAGTCAATATTTTTATTCCACGTATTCGAAAGTAATTCATTACCAGTACTTAAAAGAGTAAGCACATTGAATTCTACTTAAAAGCTTTTCCTACACTTGTCTCGTTGGATGTAGGGTTAGAATAAAATATTTAGAACAGGGATTATGTAGTTCTCATTAGGTCCATCAGAAGATCCCTTGAATTGCTCTGAACAGTAGAGTGACTCAATATTTTTTCCAAAGGCAATGTGGTGTTTTAGATAAAGCTGACAATGCTAAAAATAGTAATGATTATAGATGGGACAATAAAATGGCAATTTTTACTGAGCAGAACCTACATTAAAAAACTTCATTACTTCCTCTAGGGACATAAAAGTAGACTTGATTAAATGGAGAGAGATGTTTTGTTCTTGGAGGGCAAAACAATGTTGTAAAGGTGTCATTGCTACCGAAACTAATTTATAAATTTAATCCAATTCTTATGAAACTGCAACTTGATCAAATAATAGTATAGTTTACTCGGGATAATAAATAAATGAGAGGGTAAAAGATAAAAACTAAATAAAGAATAAGATTAACAATACCAATATTTAAACATATAATAAAGGAATGTCGGCATAAGATTAAGCAGTATATCAGTGCAAAGTAACAGAAACCTCAGAAATAGACCAACATTTATAACAGGATTTTAGTATAGAAAGGGATGTATTATTCAACAAATAATGCTAATAATTGAATAGTTTCTTTGAAAAAAGTTTGATTCCTTTCTTTATACTCCATATAAATTTCATGTGGATTATGTAAGAACGTAAAATAATACGAAGTATAAAATAACTAGAAGAAAATATAAGTGATTGTGGTTGCTCATAAGAATAAAAGTCATTTAGGGCACAAAAGCAAAACAGGAAATCATAAAGGAATATAGTTTTATATTTGACTACATAAGAGTTTAAGTTACATATACAATAAGAGTAAACGTAAAAATGAAAGGCTAAGATGAACTAGATAAAAACTCCAACATATAAGGTAGAAGTAATGTCTTTATAAAGCATAGCTAGAGTCAAATAGAAAAAGAATTAATAGAAACCTGGGCAAACAATGAAAACAGGTAATTCTTGTTAGTTTCACTCTGTTCTTTTTAAATTAGGGGATTTTTACCCTTGTCATGAACATACAGGAACTTTTCATTCAATGGAAATATTTGCATATTTGATAAAGATGAACGTTAAAAGAACTCTCTGATTTCTTTGAAATACTCTCCTCTAGTGATCTGGCTTCTTTCTTATTTCCAAAGTTATACCTTGTCAATAGCAATAACTGCATCCCCCTCCATAATCTCAAGTTCACGCATTCCAACCTTGGACCACCGTCTCCTATCTTTACAATCTGCTCCCTTGAGTACCTGAACTGCCGCAACATTTGATGCCACCAAGGCCTCTAATCCATTGATGATACAAATTTTTCATTACCCTCACTCCCTGGGTGGCCTCTCTTCTTTATCTAGTTTAAATTCACGGTCACTTGTTATAATCACTCCCTTGTGGATACTGGTAACTCTTTTGACCCACTGCTGCTTCCAGTACTCATTTGTCAAAACTGGAACCTTGTTTAAATACAACTCCCTTCCTATTCTGCACCTTTAACTGGAAGCCTGTACATGGCTGAAAAAGCACACATGATTTTGCTGACCAGTCAGTCTCACTTCAGTTCACGATCATGAATCTTAAGGGGGCCTCTAGGATTGCCCCGCCATCACACTCTGTGGTCCCTGGGCTCTCACTCTCTCCTAGATCTTCTGCTTAAACCTCCAAACTTTTTTCCCTACCTCACTCTCAGATGATGATGACCTTGCTTCCTCCATCTCAGAAAATTTAAGCAATCAGAAAAGAAGGTCTATAGACTCCAACAGATTCACCTTCCCACATATCAGCAGCTGTACCCCCATGCTTCTGTTTTCCCACCTGTTACCACAGAGGAACTATCCAGACTCCTCTCTGAAGCCAAACCCTCCATCTATGCACTAGGTCCCCACCCCTCTTAGAAAGTTAGGGAAGATGTTCTAGCAGTTCTTCCCTTTCCTCCTATATCCCCACCCCCCTCTACCTTCTACTGGATTATCCCTTTATCATACAGAACATTCTGGTATTTCTAGTGTCTTACAATACATTTTATAAAATCTTGCCCTACTTCCTTCAGCAGCCACTGGCCCATTTCTTTGCTGCAAAACTCCTGGAGCATTGTTTATACTATATTTGCTGTCCCTAATTCTTTTTTCCCCCTCATTCTCTCTTAAACCCATTTAAGTCCAGCAGTTGCTACCAATGGAATGAATCAGTAATAATTACTCTGGTGATACATGGCTTCTATATTGCTAAACACAATGGTCAATATTGACCATCCTACTTGTCCCATCCCCATCACAGTTGACCGATTTGCAATATTTGAGAAAGGTGATCACTGCCGTCTCCTGACATCGTCTGCCCTTGGTTTTCAGGACACCAAATTATCTTTCTCCCTCCCTGGTCACTTATCTTAGTCTCCCTCGCTGGTTCCTCGTTTTCTTCCTGATCTCCTCATGTCGGAGGGCTCAGGGCTCAGTCCTCGATCTTCCCTTTTGACAAAGCTTAATCATTCCACACTCCCCTCGCTCCCTCCCCTGGGCTTCTTGAATGGAGCATGGATGCTCAGGTCATTTAGACGTGCTGTTCCCTTTTCAACAAATGTATGTATTTAACACGTACAACTTGATGACTTGATATATGTATATACTGTGAAATAATCACCACAATCAAGCTAATCGACATCTCCATCACCTCACATAGCCACCGCTTTGTGTGTGTGTGTGTGTGTGTGTGTGTGTGTGTGGTGAGAACCCTTAGCAAATTTCAAGTATACGGTACAGTATTGTTACCTGTCGTCACCCTGCCACACATCAGATCTCCGGAACTTACTCATCTTGCCTGGGACATTGTTCCTGCAGACTTGAGGAAGACTCGGCTAGCTCCCCCTCACCTCTTTCAAGTCTTTGATCAGCTCGTACCTTTTCAGACCCACCTGTTCAAAAATCCCCTGGCTCCCCTGCAGCACTCCTAGTCCCTTAACCTGCTGTTTTTCTCCCCATTGGCACTTACCGACAATATTACTTAGCTATTTGTGTTTATTCATTGTCTGTCTCCTCTAGGGATTTCCGTCTGTTCTGTTCCCTCATGTTTTAGGTTCCCTCAAACCTAAACCAGCTCCTGGTACGGCGCACAGGAAACATGTCTGAGTGCTGAATCAGCGGCTGTATTTCTCACCCCGGTACTGACCTTTATACCTGGGAATCCTTCCAGTCCTGGCAAACCCATGGCACCAGGTTCTCCCTGTTAAACATGAACAGAAGAAGCTCAAGAGCAATGATCAAAAGGATTTTAAGCATTGGTTTCAGAGGCAAAAATATTTTTTTTGCCTAAAAAGCTCCCTCAAACATTGATTGGTAATCTAGCAAGGAAATGGCACGCTCTGTCTTCAAGCATTTGTATTCTTGCATCTGGTGTTTGAAAACAGTTTGAGAATAAAATTATTCCCTGGGGAAGTAGGAGTCCATTTTCTGATTGTTTTTATTCTGATTAGGAATCTAATCCCAATGAATCCTATAGTGGCGATAACTCCAGTTACAATAAGAATTAGAAGGAAAGGCTGTGTCTTAAGGAAGTTTGCCAATTTTCGAGGTACCTGGGGCTGCTAGATTACCAGAGAGTGAGACTGAGCCCTTTAAGAGCAGGTGACGTTGGAGCCCTCAAAGCAGAGTTTGTCACCCTCTGGTCTTCTCTGCAGCTGCAGAGGGACATGGATTGTGAGGGGGTGGCCCCAGGGGCAGCATCTCCAATGATTTTAAAAGTTACTGATCAAACTGATGGGTCACTGAGAGGAGATGGGTAAGCATTTCCATTAAAAAAAAATTACACATTCTAGTGTGTGGTCTCAAGCTAACTAGAGACTTTAGGTCCTCAAGGAACACATTTAGAAAAGTTAGAGTGAAGGGAGCCGCTCCCTTTGAACAAATAAATATTAGGACTTTTAAATCAAGAGAGATAAAGTGGGTAGCATGTGAACTTGATAATATTTTTTCTTCAATTTTTTTCAATTAAAAATTATTTTTTAGTTACAGTTGACATTCTATATTATTTTATATTAGTTTCAGGAGTACAGCTTAGCGGTTACATAATTATATGATTTACAAAGTGATTCCCCTGATATTTCAAGTACTCACCTGGCACCACACACAGTTATTACAATATTATTGACCATACTCCCTATGCTGAATTTTACATCCCCATGACTATTTTGTAACTACCGATTTGTACTTCTTGATCCCTACACCTTTTTCACTCATCCATCCAACCCTCCTCCCCTCTGGCAACCATCAAAACAGAAACAGACTCATTGATAATTTTTCTGCTTCAGAAACCTTTTAAAATTTCTATTACTATGTAACCTGTCAATCAGAAAAAAAGATATCCAAATTCTTTCTGCAAAAAGCTCTGTAAAAGAGTCCTGTGGTTATTGACAAAGGAGCTCTTTGATTCTCTTTGTCGACATTCCCAACACTCCCTAAGACAGAAGAAGGTGCTCAGCCAATTGTTATTTGTTTGAAAATAGCTAATAATTAAATATTTAATTGAAAGCCACTTATAAATTGTACATCAAAGAAATGAAATGGAACCCTTGAAGATAATTAATTCAATTAAGGGTAATTTTCATCTATAAAGGTTTACAGAGCAGATTAGAAACAGGTGACCTCATGCCATGGGATTTATAGGCTTCTCCAAGAGTAAAGCTACCCCTGCCCACCTCAACCTGACTTTTCCATCTTCTACTTGGTAACCTAAAATTCTACCTTTCCTACCTTATTCCTATGGCATGAAATATTATTTCTTCATACTGGAAAACTGGTGGGAAATGAAGGAAGTTGCATGGTGGTGCTGACAAAGAGTCCAAAAGAGTACTTTCCAAGTTTTATCTAAGATAAATCTGAAGGTTTACACTGGATTTAATTTCATGATTCCAAATTCTGTTTTTGTGCTTCACTCACTTAATTCACCTCTCTAAAAGCAAGGAATGTCCTCTAATCAGTTTTTATTCTTTATCCTTTGTTGCAGCTAAGAAATTTGAAGCTTAATCTCTTCAAATTCTACTCAAATATGTCTGCATTTTTGTTGCCACCCACTTTCCAACCCAAGTGAATTATAATTTATTCTTTATTATAATGCTTTTTAAAAAAGCTCTTCTCACTTTCATCTGCAGTTATTAATGATAAAACTCGAGTGCTGCAGAAAAGCTAGTGAGAAGTCTAGGTGCTCCTCGGTGACTCAGAGGGGACGTGTGTGTGTGTGTGTGAGGATGAGAAGGGAGGACCAGGAGGGAATTTTTATCAAGATGAAAGAAAATTAAAATCAGAATTAAGGACAGAGTTGGTGAATGCATAACAAAAGTTACAGATAAAGCCCTGGCCGGTGTGGCTCAGTTGGTTGAGGGCCGACCCATGTTCGATTCCCGGTCAGAGCACATGCCCAAGCTGCCGCTTGGGCTCCAGGAGGTGCATGTAGGAGGCAGCTGATGAATGTTTCTGTCTCTTTTCCCTTCCTCTCTCTCTAAAAAAATCAATAAAAACACATATTTTTTAAAAGTTACAGATAAAGCAAGGGCTGGATGAGTAGCAAAACCAAGGAAACTTCTGGATGATATATTTGGGGTTTGAAAAATGCTACTAACTGGTCAAAATCATACTTTCAGGGGAAAACAAATTGGCTTTTAATAATAGTGCCCAGTAACAAAAATTCACCTCCTCTGAAAATACGTTTAGATGTGATTATCGTAGCTCTGCAGTTGAATTTGAAGTCAGGGAGTTCTTTTTTTCTGAGGATGACTTTGGCTATCCAGAGTCTTTTGTGGTTCCATACAAACCTGAAAAGACTACTCTTTTTTGGTTCTTTTGCTCATTTAAAATTCATTCATCTAGTCTTACCAAACTGTACTGTAAGGGAAGGGCTTTACGTTTTTTCACATGACAGTGGAAAGTGGTTGGAAAGTTTACTTCTTCAGTTTCAAGTACATCTGAGCGCAAGTATATACCCTGAAGTTAAAAGGATATACAAATGAAATATAAAAGATGGAACACACACTTTAAAAGGACATGACAGGAAAAACTGCCCCGGAATGAAGGGAACCTAATTGAATTTGGCGGACCACCCACAGCGGCACTCCCTGGTTGAGAGGATGCTGAGAACAATTATCATTCTTTGGGAGGCTGAGGACATGGTCTCTTTCTGTGCTGAGTGTTAACCTCCTGATACATTCCTCCTAATAAGAGGGTTTATGACAGCACACCAAGCTCCTACAGAATAACTGCCTCACGTTCAAAGCAAATAAACAAGCCTCCTGCTTTTTTTTTTTGCTGGGGAGATGGCAGACATATTAAGGAATTTCTTTCCAGTAAGTATTTCTCTTCCACAATCTACTTAACATGGAATCAATCATTGAAATTGTTCTATTAGAAGAAAGTGTCTCATTTATCAGGAGCTTTATATGCGCCTTCTCCATCACAGGGTGATTTTAAAACACACTGATGAAAGACACAAATGCCAAGGGCAGTGACAACATCAGGATGGATGCATCTTATGAATGGAAAGCATTTGGCTGGCGTTTCTTCCCTGGCCTGTCTGCTACCTCCAGCAGGTTACTGATGACCATCTAAGGAGACAGGGCATCTTTGCCTGGTGCCCTGCTTTCAAACTTAAATAAAGACCTGTTTTCTAAATGACACAAAACATGGGAATATACATACCACTGGGCCAGGATCACCTTTTGGGCCCTATGAGAAAAAAAGGAAAGCCATTTTTAAAAGAATGACTGAAGCAAAATTACAGAAATGTGAAGCATTTTTGTCTGATTTACTTTAATACACATATAAATATTTGCAAGTTTTGTTTTGCTACAGTTTGGATTTGAAAAATAAGATAAAGAAACATAACTTGATGGAACTGCCGTGACAGCCATTGCTTGGAAATTGATTTAGTTCTTAGGCTTTCAATGCAAAAAGTGACACAGCTATGCATAATGCTATTTCTCATTATTTTGGTTGTATACATTTTCTCGGTTTTATTATAATTGGTTTCATTATTTGCTCCAGCATAAAATTCTGGTTCTATTTGTAACATGTTTTTTTTTTTGGTATGAACTTAGGAGTTGTGTTTGTTTTGTTTTGTTTTAATTGTGGTTGCTCAGCTAAAGTATGTTTGGCGATAAACAACTATACTCACAGGGGGGCCGGGGGGCCCTGGATAACTGGGAACAGTCACACCTCCCTTCAAAAAAAAAAGATGACAAGAATTATATTAATCCATAACCAAAAAATTATTTCACACAATTATAAAAGTAAATACCTGGATTTTATATAAACTGCTCATTCCATTTCCTTCGGTGAATGGCACACCCTTAGGAAAGAACCGAGAGACATAGAATTATTCTTTTAAGTTAATAGTTAGCATCTCAATCTTTTATCTTTTTACAAAAAGATATTTTTCCTATTTTATTTTAGAGAGTGAGTTTAATATCATTAGTAAAATAATACAATGTTTCTATTTTTGGCTCTTCAAAAGCAAATACAGAGGAAAAAATGAAAAAGAGCGTAAACTCCACCTGGAGCACACCGACACATCCAGTGGGGGTGTGATTAATGTTCAGGTTTGACTGATGAGACACTAATGCATTCAGAGGAAAATATTATTGGTGCATTAAAATTCAGTTTCTGAATTGCCAGTTTATGCTAACTGTTTACAGCCTGCTGACCTGCAGGCTGTAACGCAGTACCGCTGATGAAGATGTGAAGAGGGAACAATTTGGCTACCGGGAAGCAATTTTTCCCCACAGTCTCTTCATGCTAAATAGAAAATGAAGGTTAAATGGGATGATGTTACTCACAACCCTATGTGGATGTTTCTACAAAAGCATATTCTTTACAACAAAAGGGAACAAGAACTTCCTGAGCAAATTGGCCTGTAAGTGGAAAGTCCCAGAGTAATGAACCCATTTGAGGTCTTCAAAAATTGAATTTTGGCATTTTCACACAAAAATTTTAGTTAGGATCTTTTATCATGTTTAAAGAAGTTTCCACACGATCAAGAATCTACAGCTCCCTTTTTGTGATTTCCACATTCCACGTGCAAGCAAAGTTGAAGAGGCCATCATTTCCCTGGTTTAGGACAACGGTGGTCAGTGGACATGACTTACATCTTCAAAACAGTAGTGATGGAAGGAAAATGCTCCATTCATTTATTCCTTTATCACTTCACTCATTCGTTTGACAACTGCTGAATGTCTACTACATTTTAGTGTGCTAAGTCCTGGAAAGATGAAGGATAATTTTGTCTGAGATTCCCTCCTCCCCCAAAAAGGGGAGAGTTTCCCCCCAAAAAGACAACATTACTCTTCCTTGAAGAATAAATAGTTTTGGACAATTTGAGGGGAAGAGGAAGATTTCTTAAGCTCACTGTAAAATATAGGTCCCTTTCACAAGTTCTGGTTATATTTTGCTGTTATGTGAGCGGGGGAGGGAGTGCATTTTAGGATTTGAGTCCTGAATGCTTTCTGCCCTGTTTCCTTGTCAAGGGAGAAGGCAAATAAACAAAATGAAGGCCAGGTTTAGGAAAACAGAGTGGGAATCCCTTCATTTATGTGTGCAAGGCCTGCATCTGCACGGAGACTATGAGCATGTCTTTGAAGTCTTCAGAAAGCCACGGAGGAATTCCGCCCCTTCTCCAGTGAGTCTGGCTTCTTCGAGTGCTCCTGCGGGGCAGGGTGGACAGAAGCTCTGCTGCGATTTGAGCGTGGCCCACATGAGGGCAGACTTGCTACAGAGAGAGGTGCCTCTTCTCTCCGCGGCCTCCCTGACAAGGTGCACATCTGTCTCAATCATGAGCATAAAAACAGCGATGGCTCTTGTACATTTTACTTACTAGGTGCTATATAAATAGAATTTCCTTGCATCTCAGACATCATGGATGGCAATGAACACATATAGCATAATACCAAATATTGCAACTACTCACATTGCTGGGAGGGATCTTTTTTTAAAGCCCATCTATTTTTGTGTGAATGAGGCTCATTGGGGCTTAATGACTTTCCCAGGGTCCCCCAGGCAGAAAGTGGAGCATCTGGCCTCATACCCAGGTCTCCTGAGTCCACAGTAAGGAGGCCTGCTGTATTTAAACCCAAGCGCTTCCCATTGGAGCTGAGCTAAAGGGGAAATATCAGGTCTTCCCAAAGCTACATTGGCTAACATTTATATTTATACATAAAACTCAGCTGACTTTTTATCATTGAGAACATCTAAATGTAGTCTGACCTCTGAGATACAGAAGTCTTAAGTAGACACTGTGAATTTAAGTTTTAAACCTGAAATGACTCACAGGTGGTCCAGGTGGTCCAGGTCTCCCAGGAGGTCCCTCACTGCCCTGCAAGGGACATTCAGACCAAAAATCAATAGTTAGACATTTCCACCCCAGGTTTATGAGCCAGATTGTACTTGCTCTGACAGCCCTATTCTGAAATCAATATGGGCTGTCATTTTGTTTCAGCCTTGCGAAGTCTTACTCAGCTTGGCTCTTCCTTTTCACCTTCGAAAATATATTTCTAGACCACGGGAAAGGTAAATGCCTTTTTCTATACCCCGTAAGATTCAAATTCTTCCTGTGGGAGCCCCAGAGATGAAGCTTATTTTTAGATGGAGCCAGACAACCCAGACGATCATGTCCTGGACTGTGAGTGCAGCTTGGGGAACTGTCCCCTATGGGGGTGCAGAGCGGAGCTCCTGCAAGAAGAGACAGGCCATGAGCTATGGCTCTTTGGGTCGGCTCCTCACTTTAGCTGCACCTCCACACCTTCATCTTTGGGAAACCAGACGGGTCATTTGCATAATTTGACCGAAGTGATAACCTTTTTAGTGTCTGCAGGAGGAGAAACTTCTTTCACTTCCTAAGTTAATAGTAGACTTTATAACCAAGTCAGGCATGTCCCACTGAACAGGAGTGACTGTGGTTCGACTCTGTCTAAGGAAAATGTTGTATACAATTTAAACAGCCTCAGACATTCTGCTTACAGAAGAAGCAGACTGAAAATGGAATTGGTGAAAAATGAATTCAAGTTGAAACTTGAAAAATAGATTTCATTTTTATTTTTATAAAACATAGGATGCTTACTGGTCCATAATAAGCAGAAGTATCATGATCCCTTTGGTGCCTTTAGTAAGTTTCTCCTGTAACTTTTCTTTTAGAATTTTTTAAGTCCCTCAGTATGAGGAGTGATGGAAGGAATGGTTCATTAAAAAAGAATTCAGAGAGGGTAAAATTCCTCCTTACCATGCCCCAAAATTTTGAGGGATTTCAGTCCATTTCCATAAATTTAATAAAGGATTTCATTCTAATCTCCCCATTTTTAAAAGAAAGTATCATAAAAAACCTTTGTTTGTATCTTTATCAATAAAAATAAACTGTGAAGTTTTTCTTGCAATGTGTCTGACTGAGATTGAGTCACAGCGAGTATATTGTGTCTTTGCCCAAACTGCTTTGATGGTGGCTATGTCTCCAAGACATGTCATATTCCACTGACTGTGGTCAGTGTCCTTCAGAGAATTATGTCATAGTTCTAGTGAACTGTGAGAGGACAACAAACAAGGAAAAATATGTGCCTACTGAAAAGACTTTTTTTTCTGGCACAATTAAAAGTCGTATTTTCATCCTCGATTGTGCCCCAAAGCTCGTCTCAGTGTGGAATTCCATTAACTTCAAAAGGCAACTCTCTGGCCGAATAATTTCCATAGAGAACAGAGGAAAAAGGCTGTTGGGGTTGGGCAAGCTCCTTGGAATACTATCAGAAAAATATGTGGTGAGACTATCTAGAATAAGCACATTGTTTCATTTCACATTTTTTTGTGATTCCTTTGTTCCTTGATGCCATTTTGGCCCATTTTGGCCATTGCAGGGTAGAAGCCGCATGCATGCCTCGTGTGGACCTTTGATTCTTACTTCCCTGATCTGAGTAGCAGTCTTACCTCACTCATCTGCTGGCTCTGTCTGGATTCATACTGTGGGGCCCATTTAGATCCTAAGTCAGGTAAACTTATGAAGCCTGGTGGCCTTCCTGTCTGTCTCCTGTATTGCCGCCCATGTGTCCATCAGCAGCCTCCTTAGGAAGCAAGCTGTCCTGATCCCTTAGTAGCTTTCCTCAAATAACAGAGCTTCCCGGTTTCCCCAGCAAGCTCTGGGTTACTGGGATCCTGGTCCTGATGACCAGCCTGCTCTCTGAAGCCTGGGCCCCCGCGGCTGGACTCCCGACACAGGCACCGTACCTGTAGCCCTTCAGGGGCTGCTCCCGCACCACCCTCCCAAAGGGACACGCCCAGGACCCCAGGTCCAGCTGGGCTTTCCCTATATGGCACCAGTGTTTCTTCATCTTTTCCTCTAGGAGCATGTGTCCTGTATTCATTCCGACCAACTTGGGACCTGTGTGCTTCCAAGCCGGCTATCAGAGTAGCTGTACGTGGTCTCACCCTGGCCCTACCCTAAGCCCCAATTCAGACACGAAGAGAAGCTTTTCCTTTGTACCTTGTCACCCTTTGCTCCCGAGGGACCAGGATGTCCAGCTCTTCCCAGCAAGCCCTGTAAAACACAAAACTAAGTTTGCTACAGAAAACAACAACTAACTGGCCAAAGGGTATTGAAAGTTGGTCTAAAACTGATACATTTTGAAGGTCATTTAATCCTAATTAAATCAGTCCTACAAGCTTACATTTCTTCAGGCTGATACAGCAGCTGTACCCTGCTGATAAGCTCTTGCAAGGGTAAAATTTGTATTCGTGCTTGCTTTTCACCTTGGCCAACCACATTTAATGACCTTAATTGGAACCTTTTGATACATTTAAGAATTTAGCCTTGCTGTTTAAATGGCAATTTACATAACATTATGCCTTCCTAAATGAGCTATAATTTTGGTAGTGATCAACATTTTACATACTTCAAGATGCTGCAGAATTAACAATATGCATATTGAGTTATGTGATCTGCAATTTACCAAAGGAAAAGAAAATTTCATTTTAATTATTTTTTTTGAGAATAGAGTTAGCTATAATTGTCATGGTTCCTTTCACAACTTTTTCTCTTAATTTTTAATTTTAGTCTACAATTTAAAGCCAGGTTTGTTCTACATAACTGTGGTGAAAGCATAAATGATAAAATTTTAATTGTGGCAAATCCATGATTCAAAACATTAAGGAATGTAATTACATTCCTACTTGTGTGGTAAATACCATTTTAATAGGAACTCTAAGACGGGAAGAGTTGGAGAAGTTAAGACTTGAGTAGGGTTGTTGTATTTAGGGAATAAAAACACAAATATTTGGTCCCTGGCCCATGTGGCCCATGCACCGAAAGGTTGCAGTTTGGTTCCCAGACTGGGCACATGCCTGGGTTGCAGGTTTGATCCCTAGTCGAGCTGCATGCCGGAGGCAACTGATTGATTTTTCTCTCTCACATAGATGTCTCTTTCTCTCCCTCTCTCTCTCTCTGAAAAACAATGAAAAAACACATCCTTGGGTGAGGGTTTAAAAACAATACAATACTTGGGACATTCTAAAAATATTGTTCATATGAAATTCAAATTGAACTGCATGTCCTGTATTTTAACTGGAAGCACTAGACTTGAGCTTTACTTTATTTTTTTGAACTTTATTTTAATGAGAGATTGGATTTAGCAGTTGGAAAAGGAAAAGAGAATCTATTTTAGGAAAACTGTATAACCAAAGTCACAAAGGCAGTGATATTGTGTCTGAGAGGCAGTGAAAGAAGGTACTGAGTAAAGTGAATGGTATTTTAATTCATAAATAAGAATGAAAATAAATTAGATCTGGTAATCTTTGAGCCATTTTTTCCCTGAAGAAAATAAATTCTCAGTTTATGGTACTTAAGAATGTAAGGGTACAACCATCTAAATATCTCTTCCAAAGGTTAATGCCAAAAAATTACAACTAAAAAATGGAATGTTCTTTTCTATCCAACTTTCATTCAAATAGACTAGCTTAATCACAGGCTGATTTCTGGTCTGGTAGAATTCCGATGACTAATCTCCACAGCTCCGAGCAACCTTAAGTAGTACTAAATGAAAATCTGGGATGGTGGAGGCTACTTTTCTATGCAACAGCTGGATAATTCTACACAGAAGTGCAGAGAACAAAAAGCAACAAGAAATATTAGTTCATCTCTCATCATTCCAGCAGATATGGACTGTGAGAAGAACAGTTTTAGCAAATACTTACAGGGGGTCCAGTAGGGCCTGGAGCACCTGGAATGCCTGGAATTCCTTGAAGACCCTAGAAGAGATAGTTCCTACTATAAAATCTATTATATCATTGAAAATAAGAAAGTTTAGTTAATCAAACACTTTGACTATTGAAAATTAAACATCTATGTTGACTAACACGATATATGCCATATTACAAATACCTGTTCTCAAAGAGTAAGGATGGTGAGCTTTAATGCATCATAAGAAGAAACACAATTTACTGTGTTTGGTGATTCATAGAGCATTTCTGATCTCACAGAGCCACCCATCAACAATAGCATCACTGAGAATCCAGCACTCTTAAAGCATGGAAATAAGAATTTCAGATTGGCAGGACACCATCAAAAAATATATGATCAAACTAATGTTCTTTTAGCTACTGATAAAATGAAATACATTTCATGATATAATATTTAATTTAGCTGGCCAGTTCATTATAAGGCGAAATTTTGCTCATTGGTGAATTTTAATTTGAAACGCATTTATAGCTTAAGCATAAAAGTAAATGGGTATCCCTTCCCTCACCTCCTTGGACTTGTGGAATAATGTTAATTATACCAGATATAGGTGTTGATGAACTTATATATTCAAGGAAGAACTGGCAAGATTAGCTGGTTACTTGGGTAATTAATTTTGTTCCTTTACCAAGTATGCCAGCAACAGAATATTAGTTAAATAAGTTACATAAAATCCATAATATGAAATATTTTTCAACTCCTAAAATTATATTTAGACAAACTATTGGACAGCGTGGAAAAATAAAAGTTGCAAAATGTTACATAGAATAAGATCCAAGTTATTAAAAAGTTATAAATGCACTTTATAAGAGATGAGAACAATAAAGAGGGGCTCATCATGCCTTCTCTGGAAACTTTAGCGTCAGATGTGTTTCAGAGTTCTCAATTTTCAGATTTTTAAATAAAGGTAACACACTGCTCATACTGGATATTATGGAACACTTCCAATGGTATCCGAGTTGGCATCCTCTAATAAACACACAAATACTTCTGTAGTAAAACATATGGTATTCTCACCGAGTGGGATAAATAGCCCAGCTCCTTGTGAGTTCAGGTCATATTTTGCTGCCAAATGAATTTGCTGCAAATTTGGAAAAAATTTCCAGGGTTTTCATAGGCTTTGAGCTTTGGAATTGTGGAGGAGGAATGGACCATACTGTCACTATTACCAACAGTTCTCCCTGGGCAGTGCAAACAGAAATAACTTCCTTTTATTTTTAGTGCTTCTGTGTATTTCCCAAGTTTTCTATAATAAACTTAGATGACTTCTAAAGTCAGAAAAATGTGCTTTAAAAAAATACCGTTTTGTTATTTTAGAAAACCATATGATGCATGAAGTTCTAGATTAAATGGTTTCACTATTTCAGGATTTAATTTTCTTTACCAAGTGATCTTTTTGTATTGCCAAACCATTCATTGTTATAAAATTCCTTTACTTTTCATTGTGATGAAATATGTACTTTTTATACACATTGTAAATATTAGGTGAGGTGACATTGGCAAAATTACTGCATATTTATAATGAGAGTTCTTTCTATAGGACCATGATTCTAGAGCACCAAGGTTCTTTGCATAGACGAGCTTAAAGACCTAGCTCTGCCAGGCCCGTCTATCTATGGGATCATATGTTACTTCAGGTTTTTTTCATGTGGTATGATGTGAGAAAACGCTGGAAAGAATCCCTTTGAAGATGCTGAAATTCCTCATGTAATAAGAGTCTTGGGTAAAATCTTATGTGTGCTTGTGTTAAAGAATGTGGACATATTCTTTCCTCAGGATAATATCATCCTCAGTGGGAATGCTGTGTGTGAGTGTGAGTGTGTGTGTGTGTGCATGCACATGTGCATGTACATGTGTGAATGGTATGCATTAGGATATTGTATTGGCTCTTTTTATCCCCCCATTATTAACTTGTTTACAGGTGTATAAGTGGAAAGAAAACAAATTTCTTTTGGAAACAGCACCTCTAAATATGTAAAGATTATAAATATTATGCCTGTAGTTGCTTTATATCAAAATACATCTTCACAAAATTCTTTCCATATGTACATGTATAAAATATGCATGTACATATGTATTCTATTTTTGCTACTTTTAGTTTCAACACTGAAGTCTAGAGATGCTGAGTGAATCTTTAGGTAGTCTAATTTATAAGCTTGGGGCTCATTAACCTTTGATGACCACATTAAATTTGAAAATAAACCTCAGTCCATAAATTTAAAGAAATCATTCTCAGCAGTCTTTTCCTGAACAAACTGAAATGTTGTAGTAAGGGTAAAAGTTACTATGGATGCATAAAGGGCAATAAGATAATTTTAGAAGACAAGATGGTCATTAAAGAAGACAAATACATATTAGAGAGTAGGAGAGTCAATTTAGCACATAGTGCCAAACTAAAATACAAATTAAAATTTATTGCATGATATTCAGGGACCACTAAGTTCTTTCCCTGATCTGATATTTTCATTTGTAAGTCCTAGCTCAGCTGCTACCAAGAAAATTTATTTATTCATTATGATAATTTATGACTGACAATATTTTCATTTCCTACTTATTAATTATAGTAGGAAGGCCTGGGATATTATAGGAAGGCCTGCATTTCAGGCAAGAATTTACTCTGACTGTAAGAGGTGTGTTCTATTAGCAGTTTACACATTGCTACCTTGAGTTGTGGACCAACATCTGCAAGAAATGGGTAATGTCACTTTTCTAAGAGCAATAAAGAAACAGGCAATTCCTCTGTCTAAATTCCCAGATGGATTAAATTGAAGACGCAATAATTAGAAGAGATGGGGTGTCCCTCTTTATCTTTTTTACTAAGAGTAGAACAGATATTTGAAATTTGGTAGGATCAGATATTATGTACATATTAAAATAGTACAGTGTATTAGCCAGTTGGAAATGTATACAGTCTTGGCCAGTTTCATTTACTTAAGTCAACAAATTTTAATTTCAGGTAGTATATGAGTCCAAGTAGAAGACAAAATGGTATTTATTATTTCCCATATGTCTGAGAGGCAAATGCTGCATCGTCGCATCCCACCCCACCCCCTCTCCTCCTGCAAATGGTCCAACTGAGTTAGTACAATACTTCAGGTTGATTCATAGTATTCGTGTGATGTGAAAAAACAACTGAAAAGAATCTCCTTCTCAGCCTGCTGGAACGCCCTATGTAATGTCTTGTGTACAGTGTTGTGTACTCTTAAATAATCCATAAGGTGTCCTTAGGAAAGAACTCACTAAAATGGCAGAGGAATGATAACAATGATTTCAGTTCACCAAAAGAGCCAAATATCCTGTTAAATCAATAAAAATTAACTTCTAATAAATTTAACTTAGAATCACTTCGAAAAAATGGAATTCCAGTTATTTCCTGGTCTTTTTGTTGTTAGCTTCTCAATTGCCCCTGAAGCTTTCCCCTTGAATCCAGGCAGTTAAAAGCTGTTAGATTATTTATAAAATCAGATATTGTGCTTGTACTTCAGTGAAACTTTCTATGGAACATGAAGAAGCAAAAGCTCAATAGCTCTTACTTATTTTGAAAATAAAATGCCTTTACAGTTTTATTTATGAATGAAAATAAATATTATATTTCTTTGTTCTTCAATTTTTAACTTGGAAAAGAACCAAGAGCCAATCCTCAGTTTTCTAGAATAGAAACAATATTAATGAAAAACAATAACATGTGATGATCATTTATAATGTGAAATATAACTGCAACTCAAAAATAGATCTACTTCATACTGTTGTGATTTTCTGCACCAACATCAAGGTTAATATATGCCAGATGGCTTACTTACTTTCATTAAGAATTATTAGTATCAAAATGGTTTAAACTAACAACAATTCATCATCCTAATTGGTTTTTCTAAGAGTTAATGTGAATTATGCAGGAAAAGAATGATATCTTGAGCATCACCATGGCTCAGAGTCAGGAAATTATACCAGCGTCTCAAAAGCACATTTGACTTTGAATCGCAATCTGGGGGTGGGCAGCTGATTTAAGCTAGTCCAACCAGATTCTTCTCTCCCAAAAGTCTGAAAGTTGAGCAGAAACACTGACAAGCCAAGGTCACTGAAGTTGAGTCATATTAGAGCAGGGTTCCAGAGAAGTCTTGCTGAGTCCTGGGGCTGTTCTTATCTCTAGGCTGGTTGTCAACTGTTCTCTCCGATTCTACAAGCTACCTCGGGATATTTGTCCCTGGAGCTCCCCTTCCCCAGACCCTTGCTTTCATTTTGAGAGAGTTGGGATTATCATCCGCTACATGAAAATAGAAACACGGCAAGTGATACGTTAACTTTAGGCTTCAATTTCTCTATTTCAAAAACTGGACCATCGATAATAAACCTAACCATGTTAATATTTAAAATGTGCTAACAGCCCCTGCCGGGCGTGGCTCAGTGGTTGAGCGTCGACCTAGGATCCAGGCGATTGGGGTTCGATTCCTGGTCAGGGCACATGCCCGGGTTGTGGGCTCGATCAATGACTCTCTCATCGTTGATGTTTCTATCTCTCTCTCTCCCTCTCATTTCCTCTCTCTGAAATCAATAAAGATATATATTTTTAAAAATAATAAAATAAAATGTGCTAACATTTTAAAATACCTACCTAAGTCTTTGATTTTATTTGTTGCAGCATTAAACACGAGCTCTAGAAGAAAACGATGTCTTTCTTTTGTTGAGTTACATAAAGAGAATCAGTAGGACAGTCAGAGAATAAGATTATGAGAGAACAAGCTTTTACCTCGTCGCCTTTCTCCCCAGGTATCCCAGGGTAGCCCCGCTCTCCTTTGCTTCCCTAAAAAGACAACACACTCAGCAAGGACACTCAATCCTCTTGCCATCTTTTAAAACAATGACAATATCCCTTCCCAGGACACTTGGGCCATGTCATTTGGCAGAGTTAGGGAATAAATAAATGACATTTGCAAATGGCTTTACACCAGTTTTCCAAAATAGTTTTGCAAAAAGAAGTGTATTTGAAAATGGGTTTTCTTTTTTCACACAGAGCTGGAGGTCACACAAAGGAGAGTGAAGAAGATGCTCCCTTACCTTTGGTCCCTCTCTGCCTGGAATTCCTGGAGGACCCCGTGGCCCTAAGTCACCCTAGAGGACAGGGCAGTAACAGATCTGAGAAGAGGCACTATGCGTTGCCTAGGAGGCCCACAGACACCCCGCCTGCCTTCTTACCTTCCGAGCTACAGAATCATACTTTCCGGGCTCACCAGCGCCCCCTTCTTCTCCGTTGTGGCTTTTCAGCCCAGGGACACTGGTTTGGCAGTTGCCACAAAAGTTCTAATGAATATAAAGATAAGGCGACTGAGAAATTCACCAAAGTCATTTACACAAGTGAGGTTTGATCCAATTTGAAGTTCTGTTTGAACTTTTTTGCCAGAGACAAGTGGTACAGCTATCGCTATGCCACTACTTTCAGAAACTTAATTTATCCACTTTGAAAAGACTACTTTTTGTGACATAAAAACTACTTATGACCCTCGTCAGTGATGCCCGCTCATGATTCTGGTGAGCTTCTATTTAAGTAAACATGTCTATGATGATATTTAAATGGAAAATTTTAAATAAATAAGGAAACGTCATGTCAGTCAAGAACACAGACAGCTTCAATGGCTTAGAAGCATGTTTTTAAAGAGGTGGAAAAAAATTAAGAATAAAAAGAGAAGTGTTATTAAAGTTTGAAATAACAGCAAGATCACAGAGTTCCTACAACCAATAGCATAAGTACTTAAAAGAGAAAGAAAGGGAAAGCTGTGAAGAAGAAAGGATTTTTTTCCTTTTGAGAGCAAAATTAGTTGGAGAACTCTACACAGTTTACCAACATTTTATTTGTCAGTGGAAGCACTCATGTGAGAAATAATTACTTGAGTGACTTGGAGCTGACTTCTATGTCAAACCCGAGTACAGATAGGAAATCTAAGCTGAATTACCTTTCCATTGCCTTCTCTGTAACCTTTAGCCGATCTGAAAAGGCTTGAATTTAAGTGTCTGAGCTCACAAGATAAACTCCTTATGTAGCTAAAGAAAAAGCATTGCGAAAAGCCCCAGAAAAGCTTACTTTTAAATAAATTGTTAAATAAAAATATGATTGGAAAAGGCACAGAATAGGGACCATTGAATGGGGGAGAAAGTTTAGTTTTAACGGTTGACAGAAGGCAGGACAATAGAAGCTTCTACCCTTTCATCCCTTCTCATCAAAGGGAAGCATCTTCAAACACAAAAAGGGAACTAAAGCTTGCTGTTGCTGGAGTTAGCAGAAACTTTGTCCATGGCTATTCAAGTTCAACAATTTTGACCCAGCGAATATCAGCGTAAGCCTGATTTCCAAAAAAATTGCTTCTTGGAAGACTAATTATTATAGTGAAAAGATTCTAAGGCAATTTGTCTTATAAAAATGCTGGGCTAAAGAGTTCTCTTCATGGTGGTTCTTCTTAGAGCTGGGATATATAAAAGGAGCTAAAGTGTTCAATGCTTCCCAAACTAATTTTGCCACCAGGATCTTTTCACAGAGCCAATGTGTTGGTAGAGGAATCTTAAAAATACATATATAATTATAGACTACCACTTACAATATCTGAAAAACTATGGTGATCGAGAGAGAGAGATGCCTAAGGACTTAAGAGAACCAAAAAGTCTTTCATATTTAAAAATGCCTGAAGAAGATGAATTATTGTATCTGTAGACATATGTGTAAGTGTGATGTATCAATACAGAGCAAATCTCTGGCGTATCAATATACAACAACATTTTAGGATGGACTCTTCAATTGGTTATTTTAACAAAATATAAAAAATGGTAATCATTATGAGTCAATAGAATTTTCTGAGTCATTTCAAGCTGACCTTGCTTTCTTTAGTTTAGGGTGACCAGGATGGTAAATTAAGGGAAACTAGGTTTCATTAAGCTTCTTGAAAAAAAGTCTTAAGATTTTCTTATGAAGAGAAAAAGGGTGCACCAATTATTGGCCAATAAACAATCACATCAGAAGAGGGAATGATACACCAATTAGCCTACAGGATGGTCTTAGATGGGGTGTTCTTTGGGTCTGGAATTATTTCAGTTCTTTTCAATTCTTTAATCAAAGTGTTTTTGAAAACTGAAAGCAGGATGATAAAGTTTGCTAAAGACTCTTGACAGAGGAGAGTTAATGAGCCGGGTAACAGGATCAGGATTTAAAATGTCATTATTAAGTTGGCCTAATAGATCCAATCCCCAATATAAATTCCTGTATTGGATTTTGCTTTGGGGAACTACATGCTTCCTTATTCTACTGAATACAGTTTGTTGGGACTATCAGTCAAGATGTCCTGCCCACCTCTCCCCAATCAGCTCTCCTGAGTCTCAGAGCCTCAGCTGGGATGTTGGGACTGGAACAACGTCAGAGAGCATTTATTAGAGGAGGCTGCCCGGATGAAACTGTCTGCTTCCAAGAGTCTTGCAGTTCCGGACCCTCACATTGTCAGAGCCTATTCAGTCTTTCTGTCTATTCTGTGACCCATCCCATATTCCATTGGGATATTCATTTCTGCTTAAGTGTATAAACTTCTGATCCTTAAAGAACCCTACCTATTTAGGAATGGTATAACACAATTATGTCATTTACAATAGTACTGCCCTTGTAAAGAATCTGAGACAATGTCTGAAGACCTATGTTATGTTACACCAACATACACTAAGTATGTTACACTTACAAGCTGTGTGACTCAGCAACATACTCAACTGCTTGCAACTTCAGTCTCTCATCGACAGAATGGGGATACTACCGCGGCCTAAACCCATAGGATCGTTATGAGATGATATAAGTAAAGCAGCACACACTTCCTAGCATGCAGTTGTAACTTGATAAATACAAGATCTTCCTGAAACACTCATAAATATTCTTTTCTAACTTATAAGAAAATGTTGGCTTTTGAAGGTCTTAAAAATGTCTATACTATATTTTTATATATATTCATATTTACATCTATATAACTATTCTCAAAACTTTAATTGCCTAATAAATACATACCTACCAAATTCCTGAGTGTATTGAATTCAACAAATATTTCTGCCTGCCTACTTTTATGTAAGTCATTGTACAAAACATTGGGCAATTGCCAGAAATATAAAATAAACCACATATACACACACATATAGCTCAAGTGTATATGTGTGTATACACATATATGCTGTCCATTCTATACACTGACAGATAAAACAATATTTGAGTATAATGTAAAGAGACCTATTTTCATGTGGGTTCACTCCATCTTGGCATACCATGAAGAAACATGCAAATATATAGCGTTACAGGTGTCCCATTACCATTCTTCCCTCATCTATTTTACAAAAATATGAGAGAAAAAAATGGTAGCAAGATTTATTCCCTATGAGATGGAAACCGGTAGACATACTTTCTATTTAATAGAGAGTAACAGGTGTTAGGGTAATTGTTGGTTTTGGAACTTTAGAGTTCATTTTGTCAAATGTCATGATATCAAAATATCAAACCCCAGCTTTGCAAGCTAGCTGTTTATTGAGTAGCACTGGTTTTCATCCTGGGTATGGCCGGGCAGATCCAGGGAGAAGGGTTGGGTTTCTCAGTTGGGTGAGCCAGGCTGAGTAAATACCCGCTAAGAGAGGAGAGAATGATCTACTCTGAGGTGTCAGTGACAGGATTCCTTCCCTGTAGCTCACCTCAGAACAACCATCTCTCCCCTCCCCGCCCTTCTACACCAGTGAGAGGGTGGTGATGAAGAGGGTAGAGGGATTAGTATAAAGGGTGCAAGGTACATAAGAATATGTGCTCCTTTTTCTCCCTTATAGATGTTCTGCCACTTAAAAATTGAATTTTAGTTCAGGCTGAGCAATTAACTCAATTTCTGGTAAAGATTTCCTTTCTGACTTTTCCTGGAAATGCACACGTGATGTCTTCCATAGCAACAAAGTACCTTGAGCAAAACGCCGATGTCTCCCAAGAGAGGAAGTGCAATCTGTGGTTGAGAAAGAAGCAAATACATGTATTTGTACATACAAGGCACACAATATAGTACAAACATACAACACAATGTAGACATTTTTGAGAAATACTCATTATTCCTCTACTGTGAACACCCAAACACTGGAATATTACTGCTTTGATTTTGCGTCTCTATTTTATATTTTCATGACCATGGCAGCCTTTATGCCGACCCTAACATATAATTGGTTTTACACTTGATCTTAGCCAAAAGGCTGAGAAGCAATTTATTGTTAGTTTTAAATAACACATAAAGGTAAATCATCTTCTGCCAGGCAAATTATCAAGCTGTTGAAAATATGAAAATTAAAGTTGCCTTAAAGTTCTTTCTCACTAAAGTTCAAAAGAGGCTTAAGTGATAGGCAAGACAGATACCGTGTACCTGGGGAATTCAGGCAGTGTTTTCACTTGATGTCTAAAATTGTCATTTCAAAGAGACCCAAGTAAAGTGTAAACCCAAGTAACACTTTCCAGGACTCCCAGATGATGCATCATGATTCACTCAGTGGTAGAGTTCAAGTATGGCCGAAATGGGACTCTGAAAGTAGCTTATAGAAGCACATAGGGCCCAAACAGTGTGGGAAGTAGAAGGACTTGTGAGGCTTAGAACTGAGAGGCCAGATTTGGATTTTATTATATAAAACTCTTAATACAATGTCATGTACCATATGGCCTCTCAAATTATAGCTGCTGATTCTGAGGCTATTTAAAGATTTTACTGTCGCTCCAAGCAAGGTTTAACCTAAAATGAAACTTTGGAACATATAATTAGTGCCTAAACTGATTTTGTAAGAGCCTACTCAAGCCACTTTTTGTAATTTAATCATTTCAGCATTTTAAAGCCACAGAATCAATGGATATGTACCATATTGTAAGTAACTTACCTGCAAACTTCCATTTAGAGAAATGAAATTCATTTGGTCGCTAGCATTAGAAAGAATAGAAATTGTGGCTATATATTTTAACTCAATTTTCCACAGGATTGAGACATTATATGCCAAGGCTCAGCCTGGGGCAAAATTGTACAGTTGAATTGTACCCTTAGGAAATAAGTATTCATCACACACACAAAAATGCTGACACAGCTTGAATTTTTTCCCCCTCTACAAAATAATGGGGACAAACAAAATCACCAAGCAGTCACTGAGCATTCTAATTAGTTTGGACAGCAAAACTTGCTTGGTAGGCTGTTTGGCTTCTGGGTGTATTAAAGATACATAAATCAGGCAGTCTGTCAACATACCGGGTCACCTGGGGGGCCTGGCAAACCTGGCTTTCCATCCCTCCCTGGAGCTCCCTGAAAACAGAAACATGTTCCAATCTTAGCACAGTGGCACAGGTGCAGGTTAAAATGGGTGGCGGAGGGGTGAGGGGTAGGTCAGGCTCAAGGAGTAGGTCCTTACATCATTCCCTGGAGTTCCTGGCAATCCAGGGAGACCTCTAGGACCCTGGAAAAGGGGGGAAATAGTTATGTATGAAGACAGTGTTTCAGTAATTTCCCCCAAGTAAGCAAGCTGGATTTGCTGTGCCTACTAACTTGGTTAAGTTACTTACCTGAATACCTGGCTCTCCAGTTGGTCCTTGGGAGCCCTATGTAGGATGAGACCCAATGATCAGAATTCTGCCAGGAAGGTCCATAAATTATCCAAGTAGCTACATATTGTAATTTTCTTAGTGGAACAACAGGGCTTGCCACCATGCACTCTCTGAAAACTCTCTGCAAAGTCAGCCAAGACTTTTGGGTGACAGGTAAACAGTTCACTAGAGGCCTATTTCTGGAAACATCCAGGTAGTTTTGCTCCAGTGCCTGGGATCTCTGCCAGCACCATCATCTGTCCCTGTACCTTCATGAATGCACAAATGGTACATCCAAATCCTATCTATTCAGAAACTGACTGCCCACTGGGTAACCAGATCAGGGCCTCCTTCCCCTTCTGCTTCTACTTCGTGTCATTTCTCTGTTTGAAGAAAACTCCAGAAACACTGTTCAGTGACAGAAGTAGGAAGTAAATCATTAATCAACTGTCTGTTTCTACTTCAGCAAATTGGACTTTGGGGTAACTAAAATGAGGCTGGGTGATCAGTGGCCCTAATGATGATAGCTCTAAGCCTAGTGTATAACCGTGGACCATTGAATGAGGAATTGACAGCTAAGTAAGTACAGAGCTGGTTTCTCTACAGCTGGCCTCTGTAACTGTGCACAGACATTTCCTTCATTATTTTTTAAAATAGATATTCACATCACTGTTATTATTGTCAAAGCTACTTTTGCTCCCTTTCTATTTATACTGTGTTCTTAAGTTATTATTTTTTGCTTCACCTTCCTCCATTCCCTTAATAATTTTCTGATCTACTTTTTTTTTTTTACTTTGTTTAATCTCCCATCTCCAATGGTCTTTCGAGTCCTGGAAAATCAAACACCAGTCACACACAACATAGCCATTCACTAGTGACACTTTTTTTTAGCTTTCATGATAACTTCATTACAAGACCACTTTCCCAAATGAATGTCATTAAAATAAGCACGTATTTCCACTTTTCTTGTCCCAGAATCTTTATGGGTGGTTTTTTTTTTTTTAATAGCAAATATAGAGCTTTATTGCTTATTACCACTTAGTCAACAAGTATGCCTACAGTGGTCATTATTTAATATCAGACACTATCCTTATAGCTAAAGCATGTAGAAAAACTGCCTATTTTTTGTCTTAACAATGAAAACCAACTTCTAGTCTCTCTTCTTCTTCTCTGTAAATCTCTAGGACAATACTTAGAGATTTTTTTATATATTTCTATTCATATGTACTCCACTTGAAATATTAACTTTTTATTTTATTCTAGTTAAAAACAAACTGTAATATATAAAAACCTAATATTAGCTATTCTTATAATCATACAAACATTCACTCATATGTTTTAATACACAGAATAGAGGAAGTGTAAGGTTAAATAACTGTTTCCATTCCAAAATCAGTATGTGTGATCAGCCTCTGTAGGTCAGTACCCAGTGAGTGGCCTCTCTGTGCTTAGTGATGTGACCTCAATGCCCTTTCATTCTCACCCTCTGACTGGTGTTTATTGTTGTTTCCTCTTTGGACTATTCTGTTATTTTCTCCTTTTCAAATTTGCCACTGGATTTTATTTCACAATATTCACATCAACAGGGTTTTAAAAACTCAACTGAATATCACTTACTGTTCGGCCAGGAATTCCTACCCCTGGTGGGCCTATGTCACCTGGGGAGCCATGGACACCTGGCAGTCCCCTTTCACCCTGGAAAATGAGATGTTCGGTTAAGGCAACGCTCAAGGGATGTGAATTTTCTGGCTATAGTTTATTAATGATTAATTCTTTAAAAATTATCTACGATATTTTTATACCTTTGGCCCACGGGGGCCAAGTGCTCCAGGTTTTCCATCTAACCCCTAAAATAAAAAAATAAAAAGAGGGTTGGATACATTTATTTTTCTAAAAAGGTTAATAACATTTTAGAAATCATAGCTCAAAAATGTTTTATTGCTCTTCATCTTTCTTGAATAAAGCTTTTTCTATAAAAGAATAATAAACATGGAATACAAATTTTACTAGGTTATGGGTTTTGTATCATTACATTAAAATAGTTTTTCATCTTTAAAATTAGACACCTGATACTGAGATCTATTTATCATTATTTTTAAAATTAATATAAATGGTCAAAGGGGATGAGAAAAATGCATATAAACAGGTATAATGGTTAGATTTTTCTAGCTAACCAGTTTTCTATGTCCTGGAAATGGCCTGGACCAGCAGGACATTTTCTTCAAATGACCACCTGTGGCCACACCTGCAGAGGCCCTGGCAAGGAAATCTCAAGCAGTCCTTCTGTTTTAACATAGTGCCCTAGGAAGGTTTATGGTTTAAAACTGGTGTTTTACTGGGCTCCATATATCCCTGAATAATCTATGTCTTCTGCAGAGGGGCCCATGAAGCTTCCAAAGCTGGCTGTAAGATGGTACCTGTGTGTGCATTTTCTTCAGAAGAGAGGCCTTTGCTGCATCAAACTTCCAAAGAGATTAGGTCTCTCAGCTGAAGAATAAGGTGAATATGTATTTTTTTGCACATCTAAGCATGCTGCTGGACTTGTGGTCTGACACTGGGGCACACAGAAGATAATTAACAATCTTTCAAGGGAGATATTAGCAAAAGGGCTGGTACTTACTGGTTCTCCTGGCAGGCTTTTCCCTGGAGGACCAGCCTCTCCTTTTGGACCTGGAAGCCCAGGAGGGCCTATAATCCCACCTGGATCTCCCTGAAGAAAATACGGTAATATTCTTATTTCATTGCTCAGGATCATGGTGGGAGGCACGGAGGCAGTAGCGTCCATTGATTTAAGTTGTCATTATAGCCAGTCAAACTTCATTCTCTCATTCATTCACTCATTCGACAATATTTACTAAGTGCCTAATTCATGCCAGGCACTGTTCTAGTTATCTTAGGTGCATTTAGATCTTGTAGTGAGTTATGTTACCAATACATTTAGCAGTTTCATGGCATATGCATGTGCATAAATATATGCACAATAAAGGCATTTATTCATAAAGTTCTTCAGCTGATCTTTGTCTTTTCTTTAAGTTATTCCCCAATAATTGTTCAACATTAATGCACTATTTCCATGTAGACATCAAGAAACAGGTCCTGAAAGATGGAGGCTTCTTTGGTCCATACCAGAGTCGGTAGCTGAGCCTGAAGCAGACTTTCTGAGTCCTGAGGTCTTCCTGTCTAAGTTAGTTCATTTCATCGTACTGTGTTTTTATGCCAGAACCAGGACTGCCACAAATGCACTTCAGGCGGCATGATTCACAACACAGTTTAGGTGACTGTCCCTCCCCTACCCAATCCTGGCAGCTGGTCCTGGTCCTGTTCACTCACTCCCCCAATGCCCTTTGACCCCTGGCTTCCTCCTCAGCTCTAGCTACTTAATACACAAAATAAGTAAAATGGGAGTAATACCTTTTCTCCTTTAATGCCTTGTTTTCCTGGGATGCCGTGTTCTCCTGGCAATCCCTAGACAATTCAGAATTAGAGGGAAAGAGCAATTAGAACATTTATTAAAACAACACTTCTATCTGTGAGTCTCTGTCAGAACAGAATCTTAACATACAAAGTGTGTGGGGATGGGTTGGTTTTGGTCTGCTAGAGAGGGAAAAACTTTAGTGAGAATATGTGGCCTGTTATTTCAAGGGAAGTAACTGGGATGTAATGGGAAAGAAACGAAATAAGGGAGAATTGCACCAAATGCCCCCTCCATAATATTGCCAAGGAGGAGTGGGATGGTGATGGTTGATGGCATCACATGATTAAGAAGGACAGTGGGGTAAATAGGAAAATACGCTTTGACTCTATTTGAGCAACAGGGGCTCTTTCCCCTTTGATTTTGTTCTTTCCTAGCTCCAGCCACTGTCACTTCACTTCACTTTGTGGGCACCTTGTGGCTCCATCTGTGCCACCAGCATTTTCTCTTTTCATAAGATCTCTTCACTAGGTACACCTGCAATGGTTCATTAACTGGCGTGGGGAAGCAATCGAAAACTTAGCTCTATGAACCAAATGTTCAAAGGACCAAGCAGAACAAAATGCACTGAAAGGTAGAGCCCTGGAACACAGAGAATAGAGCAAGAGGTCATGGGGCTGTCTCCAAGGCGACGGAGACATTCTAATACTTGACTAGAGGTACTGGAATTGTGGCCAGAGATCAGTTTCCAAGAAGACATGGTCAAGCATTTTTTGTTTTGTTTTGTTTTGCTTAAGTGAGGACTGACGATGTGTCTCAGCTCCCAAGGTGTCAGAAGGCTAGGGAGGTTGTCCAAGGGACCAAAGGTTTACCTGGAGAGATGGATAGAAAAGTGCATTTAAAGGGTGTGTGTGTGTGAGAGAGAGAGAGAGAGAGAGAGAAAGAGAGAGAGAGACTGAGAAATTGAGAGACAGAATGAGTCCACTAGAGCTAGGTTATAGCAACCTGAGGATGTCTCTCCAATTGCATTATAGAAATATTTTCAGCCAAAAGACTTGCTTTTTGGAGGCTCTCACAAGAAAACAGAAGCTTTGGAAGTGTCTTTCTCTTGGGTGGAGAACTGAACCAAAGCCATGCATAATGGAAATGCTTGCTTTCTCTCTTCATTTGTTTGCCTTATTTCTTTTGATGTTTCCCATCTCCTTTACTATTGGTACACCACTGACAAGCATGTCCAAATGATAATTTAGTTAACTTGTTCCCAAAAAACAATTTATGAGGTTACTGATATTCAAAAGAACCTCACATGAATATATGAAGGTATTAGCCTTCCCAATAGACATTAGGTGTGATCACTATTAGTGGTAGAGATGACCTATGTCTTTGCCAAATGTATGTCTCAGTCACACGAACAGATGTTCACATTCTTTAAAACATGCGTTAGCCTCAATTTAATTTTCAAACATCAAAGACACTTGTATCTACTATACATACAATATCTCCTGGTGGTCCTCTGGGTCCCACAGAGCCTGCAGGTCCTTGCTGACCCTAAAATACAAGGTGATATGTACTTTTAACTTGGCTAAAAAATTTGTACCTGAATATATATAAAATATAATGTGACCTGTATGTGTAGAAAGACTGACTTTCACCATCCTACCTTCTCTGTATAATACTGAAATGTGCTTTGGTCTTACAAATATAGCTTCAAGATGTTCTCATTTAAATAGGTCTGTCATCAACAGGTGAGGCCTGGATAACCTGCCTTACCTGTTGGTGGGAGCACCTCACATTAATTTCTCCTGCACCTCCCAACAGTGTCTTCCTTGGGACACTCTCCCAATATTCCAGATGGGGAACTCGAGAATCTCAGGGATGTACAATTTTGGTTTAGAAATTAAACCCTGAATACTGTATAATAATATAGTTCAGGGTCATAGATTTAGCTCACATTGTTTAGTTTTGAAGATTTTAGGGACGCTATTGTGAATATGTTCTGAAAAAGAGTTTAAAATCTTATTGTGAATCAAAAGGCGAAGTTACTGTGCGTATAATAAATGCAACCAATGGGGGGGGATCACCATGGAAACATGATAATGCCTTTGGGAACATCTGTGAAGAAAGTGAGTGGCACTAGAGCATCTTGTTTCACATAGAAATGGCCATAACTCAAAAATTATTTCATTTATTTCACTTATTGCTTATATACCTTTAGTCCTGGGCTTCCTATTAAACCAGGGGGACCAGGATCTCCAGGTTCACCCTAAACATATGGGTGGGAAGGAAAGTCAAACCGGTTACTTTGATTTTCACCTTACAATTAGGTTGTAGGTGCAACTGAAGAGTGTCAGGGGATTACCTTTATTCCCTGTGATCCTATTATCCCAGCTTCTCCCTGTAAACAAAATAATCACTACATATGTAATGCTTAGATTCAGATGTAGATGAGCATCTCTAATAATGAATTCATTTGCATTTCCACTAATTAACATACAATAAAGGGGGAAATTATGGGAGACATGAGGAAGTCAAGGAGGGTTCATTCTAAAACATGGTTTGAAATACTTATCGCTAATAAGTAATTTATTTTCTTTTTTCTTTCCAAGTTTTTCCCTCAGTGTTGCATTTGACATTGTAATCACGAAGTTCCATTAGCAATCACTGCCTTCTCCACTCAGCTGACCCTGCTACAATTTGCCACCAGCTAATCTTGTATCTCAGAGAATGAAAAGTCCAGATGAGGAGGTAAAGAGAGTAGAATTTAAGCTGCTATGTCATGGTGATTCTACTATCAAGTATATGTACTTCATAAAAAACCCAAAAAACAGAAAAAAATAAAGGTTGAACAAAGACAATGGTATTGGCTATACTGAGTTTGCTTTTATATTTTCCATGACTTATTATTGATTCTTTTGATAAAATTATCCTGATTGATAAATCAAATTTGTATCATTAAGATAATTTTTGAAAAAACAGTATCTTGTATTTTAATTGTGTATTTTGGATGGCCTAAGCGGGTATATTTCAAAACACTCTGTCTTATCACAAATAGTAATGGGTTAAAAAAATATCCTCTACCCAAGCAGACCTTAAAGTGTCATCAGAGGATAAAACTTAACAAGATTTAAAATTTCTCATTTATCAAAATAAAGGAGTCAAAATACACAGAGGAAAAAATAAAATGCTCAGGGACCTTATTTTATCAAATCTATTAGACTCCAAAGTAAACATACCAGGAATCAGAGAGAAAGAAATCAATGAAGTAGAAAACCCAAGATAGCGATAAAACATCTACTTACTTTATCTCCCTTTTCACCTTTTGTAAAAGGTTCCCCCTAGGAAAATGGGTAGAAACAGAATCAATTATAAACACTTCTAGAAATAAACTCTCCAGAACTGAAGTGATATCCTGCAGACCAGCCCAGGCCTCTGCAATGATCCAGAATGTCACACGGTGGCCTGTGCAGCTTAAAGGGAGCATGAGAATTAGTTTTAAAAAACACCTTCCATATTCCAAAATGAACAGTAAGTTAATAATTCTAGTACTATTTTGAGAATCCTGAGTGGCTGACAAATTGAAATACTGCCCAAGGCCAGTGCTTCCTTTTGCATCACATAGAAGGTGATATCTCTCTCCCTCACTCCCTCCCTCCTTCTCTCTCTCTCTCTCTCTCTCTCTCTCTCTCTCTCTCTCTCTCTCTCACACACACACACACACACTTTCCCTTATTAGCTTCTGTTCCTGGAGTTCCATGTACATGCTCTCATTTACTTTTACATCAATGCTGTGGGGAGGATATTGTCTCATTTCAAGCATGAAGAAAGAAACTCAGAAAGTTATTTCCCCTAAAATAGCATTCACTCACTTTATGTTTCCTTATTTATCCTGCCTATAAACTCTAAAAATATACAGATATAATTCATCTTGACTATCATAGTATACCTGGTGTACACTGTTGGTACCCAATAAAAGTTTAGTAAATTAGAGAATTTAAAGTTATGCAGATATTACAATAATAGCAGGCATTTGTTAAATTCTTATAATGTATCACACACTGTTCTAATCACATTATATATTGACATAGTTAATCTTCATGTGTCAGTGGAGTAGGTACTAATAGTATACTCATTAACAAGTGAGGAAACTGAGGCACAGAGAAGGTGGGTAATTTCCCCAAGGTCACAGAGCCATAGGAAGGTCATTTAGGATTTAAACCCAGGCAGTCTGACTTCAATCCTAGGCTTTGGTGGTCTGTTTGATTTGATTTATTTATTATTTGAATTAGGTGAATTGACAATAAGGGTAAAGTTTGAGAACATTTTTAAAAACATTTCTTTTGCAAGAGAATGTGTGAGAACCATCATGGACTACTCTCGAAGGTCCTCTTAGGGATTACTATTCTCGTAAACAAAGCACTAATGAGACGTAAGTGGTTACAGAATGAGCCTCTGTGATTTTCACCTCATGTCCTATGAGAAGGTGGCTACGGGGCTCACATTCCCTCCCATGTTTGCTAACTCCCTTGTGGCGACATGGTGCTTTGCGGTTAGTTTTGGCAATGAAATGTGAACAGCAGTGGCATGCGGTACTTGCACTTGAAGGCTGAGGCAGTGAAAGCCCATTCATGATCCTCCAGTCCCAGTTTTCCTGCAGTGGTGATCAGATGGCTTAGCTACATGGAGGTAATGGGCCTGGTAACTGAGTGTGCGTGAAGTAGAATATCTATTCCTCCCAACGGAACCACGTTGGCACGCAGCAGGAGCAAGAGATAACCTTTCTTGAGTTAAGCCACAAATATTTCAGGGTTAATTTGTTACTTACTGTAACCTTGCCTACACTGACTAATACGCCCATATCTAGCCAACATGATTAAATCTCTTATTATTGGTTATTTTCTCACATTAGATCAGGGCTTTATTTATATTCTTACCTTTCAGTTTTAATTCTTAAAAATCTATTTGATTTTTACGATAGCATTTGATATTCATTAGATATAAGCAATGGGCCACATTGCTTATATAACAGCTCGTTTCTGCTTATATCACACTGCTTACGTCATTGCTCATTTAGAGACACTATCAAGACACATTGACTAAAGTAACTGGTTTTAGAAAACACAAAAACTATAGCCTGCTTGTCTAGAAACTCGATGTTTAGGTCCAGCTTCAACGGCTACTATCTGGGTCAAGTCAATTACCTTTTGGAACATCTCTTTATCTACAAAATCATGGGATTCAATTACATGATCTCTTATGTATATTTTAGCTCTGACATGTTTCACATTTAGTCAAATTCTAAATGTCTAATAGTGGGGGAGAAAGTGCCATTCAGGACAGGTAGTTCAGAATTCAATTTGACTAAATTTTTTGGATGAATCGTGTGAGCCTTTTGGTTATTATGCGAAGTCAAGTCCAGATCCTGTTCCAGAATAGAAATGTTGAGGCTACAGACAGCTAAACTTCTCTGCATAATAATGTAACAAATAAAAAGTATTTTTTATGGGGCTGGGCAGGGAGGGAGGCAGGCAAAGTTGTCTGAAGAGGTGGGATAATTAAGGGATTGAAAGGGAACTGGCAAGAAGATCAGTGAAAAGAAAAGAAGGCTGTTGACCTGGGTAAGCCAGACAGGTGGGCTGCCTCTAAATGTTGGTGGTAGGAGGAAAAGCCAGAGGAAATATCTGAGAACTATAAAATCCTCCAATCCTTGCTACTCAAAGTGTGATCCATGGACCCAAGAGCAGGCCCTGGGAGCTTGTGAGTAATGCATCTTCCCAGGCTCGACCCCAGACCTAATGAATTAGAACAAGCATTTCAAAGGGAGCCCCAGGTGATTCAGGTGCACCTTTGAGAAGGACTGTTCCAACCCATAAAGTTTCTCCTTCCTGCCCTACAAGTCCCTGCTTTTCCAGTAGAATTTTAGTAAATCTTATTGCCAGGCCTGCCATATGTCACACGGAAATGAAGATTGTCAGTGTTCCAGCTTGGAGGGGAGACAGTGGAGACCTGAAGAAGCAGCTAGGAGTTGGTAAGAGGTGCCAACAGGCGTAGAGCATCAGGAATGAATCAGCAGATGGAAGGGGCAGCAACCACAAGACTGGATTTGTGGGACATGTGAGTTTCCCAGACATTCATGGAAACACCCAGTTGAGGAACCCTGTTAAAGACTGTTTCTTCTTGCAGAGTGTGAAGGCTTGGACTGGATACTAAGGGCTGGCATGGCCTCTGAAAGTAGGAGAACTTAGGCTGCATGAGTAACAGCTCTCATTCTAAAGCTACCTGAATGTTTACTGTCATTGCCAAGACGACCAATTTTTAAAGCTAAGGCTTTGCAATATTAAATACTTCTAAATATTGTTCCTGTTTGGCATGCAGGCATTTTAGTGCCTCTTCTCATTATCCCTGGTGAACCAATCTCCTTTGTTCATCTTGGCAAGGAAAAAGGTAAAAGTGATATTTAAGTAGTATTTATTTATTTATTTATTTATTTAATTACTTACTTTTTAACAAAGATGAAACATTTCTTAAGCCTGATTCTTGCTGACTCATTTGAAGACTGCCATAGGTTGTCTTTTTTGTTTGTTTTAACAGCATTCAAAAAAGAGTTATTTTTGTAACTAAGATTCATATAATCTCTATATATGGTCCTATTTGAATATAAAGGAAACTGTAGGGTTCCCCCCCCCACCTCCCACCAAAAGAGCTAAGTTTTTAAAGAAACTGACCTCAGTAATATTGAAAAGTGAATTGAGAAGCCACTTTGATCTTACAAAAACCAAGAAGGGAAAATAACTTCAGAAAGTATATTGAGAGCAGTTGTTTCTTTGATAAATTAGGTCTAGTCTTTAGATATATTGATTTTATTGTTTATTTTAGCTATAATGTTTAGTTACAGCAGAGCAGCTTAATGATTTTCACACCCCGGGTTTAGAATCTGCCTATTTAAGTGAGTCATGGCTCTAATGCTTACTAGCTGTGCAACCTTGGGCAAGTTAGTTATCCTCTCTGTGCCTCGGCTTCCTCATCTGAACAATGGAGGCGATGAGTCTACCTCAAGTGGTATTTTTTAATGGATTAAATTACTACATGTAAAAGACTTAATGCCTCTACAGAGCACTTGCTCAAATATCTGATCTATCATTCTTCGCCATGGTGGGGCAACCAAGGTATATAGAAGTGAGGCTAATCAGAAGAATATTTTTAATTCTATTTTTGGGGTATTCTTTCTCTGCCCTAAAAGCTAAAATACTTACAGATTCTCCTTTTTGACCTTTAGGGCCAACAGGTCCTGGAAATCCTGGTTGTCCAGTTTCACCCTTTCAAGAAAACAGAAGAGAGATTTTGCGTGAGGCCAGACGCGTACTGTTGTGACTATCACAGTCAGAGTAATTGCTTGAGCTCCTTTCTAATCATGGAATTTATCTATTATCCTCCAAGAGACAATGACAAGTTCTGAATGGAGTTAGGCTATTTGCATAGTAATGTGTTTGTCAGCACTTCACAATGCCTTAGGTCTTTTAGCAATCTATAATATTCACTATATTTAAAATTAACCTGAAACAAAAGTTAATTATTTTTCAAGGAAAGAACATGTATAGGAGATAAAATTATAATTTTGCTCTGCTGTACAAAAAAATTGTGATTTTAAAGACATCAGATTGTTTAACTGACATAATAATCCAGACTCATTTTATTTCAGACACTTGTTTCTTTTTTTCTTTTTTTTTAGGTAGGGGGAGGTAGAGGAGTCTAGAGACATGAAGACAATGAGCCTCTCAGCTGTTTCCAGCATTTACATTCTGCTTAAATGATTGGCTGTGGACAAAGAAGGCATTCTTGTCAATGTGGTGACAGCAGCGGCTTAGAAATGTCTAAGATGTCTTAGATCTTGAGGAGGGATTTGTATGCGACATATAAAGAGTATTGTGAAAAAATACAATTTTAGAAATAATACTTGTGGAAAGGAAATATATCACTAATCAGACTTCAGAGGAGTCTCATCACTGTGCTACTTTTTAGTGTTTACCAAAATCCTTGACTATTACATACTTGTGTATAACATAAACATAGCCACTTGAAGTTATATAATGTTTTTTTCCCAACTTCAAGAGCATTCCTGCCAAATGATGTTTCTGGGCATATACCTGTTTTATTTATTTTCTATTTAAAAAACAAATACAAAAAACATAAAGTTGAATTATGTCAAATTTTCATGTACCAGGCACTGAAGTTAAAAAAATAAAAAAAAATTTACGAAGAGGAAATCTCCTATATTTCTCTATTATAAACAAGGCTTCAACAAACATCTCTATACGTGCCTCTTGTGTGGATGTGTTTATCTGTTTATTTTGAAGCCTCAAGCAATAGTCTACCCAAAGTATTTCAAGTACAAATTTATTACAATCCTATAAATGTTGGCTTATTTTTATATTTCTATCCAAATCAGTGCCTTGTGATTTTAGATTACAAGAAGAGGGAGACTGTCTGGATAGACAGGATCATGTCTTATTAAGGAGTTTTCTAGATTTGTGGAATATATTTTGTAAATTTAATCTTGATTTTATTAATATAATTACTTTTCCATCTAGTGTCTAAATATCTAGTATACCAACAATCTTATACTTACCACATGTGAGGAGAAGGTATTTTTCTCCCCCCTAGAGATAATAAATTCTATCCAAAGTAAAAAGAGGGAGAAATTGGTGGATACATTTAAGGGACCAATTGCTGTTGGTTTAAAAGAGGAAATGAACAGTTGGCCTTGTATGAGCATTAGGGTACACAGAGTGACTAGCCTGTTACCTATGTGGTAGGTGCTAAATCCCCAGTGCACAGGAGTGAAGGAAAAATATGCATAGCAGTTAGACTGACCTGCAAAAAATAAAAGTAGAATTCAGGAAAGGGGCCTAGAGATGACTATAAAAATCACATCTGCCCAATACCAAAGTGGAAGTGGGTGATGTCCACAGCTCATATTCATTGAACTGATGTAAGTAAGTAGGTCTCCATTGGAATGTAGATAAAGGACCCAACAGGGGCTTTGATCCATCGCTCTGTGGTACAGTGGTGTGGTTGGGTTTAGAGGAAATTGTAGAAACCAATTCCCTCATATAAAATTCTGAAAACAAGAGCATTTCATACCTAAAATCTTAGATACATGTGGAGTTGTTTTCGTGTTTAAAATGGCTCTTCAGTGATTTATCACGGAGGATCTGAGTTGAAAGACGAGTGATGATACTTAGCTTCAGGAAAGGCTGTCCCTTAATTTGACATTTTTGATGCTATTTTAAAAACTTGGTGCTTTTGTGGCTTTATCTTTTCTCCCTGACAGTTGGCCCCAAAAGACCCCTGCTAATTTCTCAGGAGTCCTTAAACGTTCTGCTACCTTTTTCCTCTGTTTCTATAAAGAAGCAGTTCTTCTCACCCACCTTACAAACACATTATTCCTTCACCTCACTTAGGCTCAGGCAAGCTCCAGAGCAGCGATCACCATTTCAATACTGGTAGATGTGTCACATGAACGCCATGGTCTCTATTGCCATTTACCGTTAATGGCTACTGGTGTGCCTTAGGGTTTCTCCCTGTGTCTTAGGGCACTTGACACAGTACGTGGCTGCTAAACCAGGAGTGATCTGTGTGTAAATCCCACCGTTGTTTGTGTCTGTTTTGGTGCATCATTGTAATGTTGGGTTCCAAATGGGAGACTGGTTTTGTGATTCTGTTTTGCCCATCAGCTTATGGAGAAGTGATAAGTCATTTATGCGCTGAAATTGTACTTCTGGTTAAATCTTTTATTCTGCAACATAAATTCAGTCCCTTCTCTGTCAGTATGATGGTGGGAGATGAAAAGGTGAGCAAGACCAGGTGTTAAGGATGGTAACTACTGTTAACACCAAAAAGAAATATATGAGACCTTGGGAGAAGAAATAAAGCTTGGGGTAGACGAACAGAAGGGAATGAATCTTCAGTGGGGGATTAATATACATCAGGCGTTGTGCTTTCAGGTAAATTCATGCACTCTCATTTGAGTTTAATCCTACCATCAACTTTGTGTGGATATGATTATGCCCATTTTACAAATGAGGAAGCTGATACTCTGATTCATAAAGTGATTTTCCCAAGGAGATACAGCCGTTAATGGCACAACCAACTTTTGCCCCCAAAGACCACGTTCTTCCCACCACTCAATGGTTCTCAGCACTAGCTGCCTGTCAGAATCACGTGCAGCATCCTTAAATGATAGCGGTATGGACCCCGCCCCAGATCAACCAGAGGCGCGCCCCAAATCAGAGCCTCTCAGGATGGGGCCTGAACAACGGCATTTTCTGAAAACCCTCCAGGTGATTCCGTGTGCAGCCAAGGTTCAGAAGCACTGGGGTCCTCTCCGGGTGCAAGCCAATCTGTGCGAGCAGACTGAAGGAGCTGTAAGTGCTCACTACAATGACCCTTGAACAGCATTACAATTTTAAAAACCAATGTGTTGATTCAGAGCAGTGGATGTGTACAAGGCAGAGGTGATTCCACTCTTCCAGCAAGTGCTATGCTTAATGATTTTCAGTTCATTTTATGTGTTGTTTATTGGCAGAGTCCTGCTCCTGTTAATTAGAGTTCTTACAAACCATTTCACGTGCACATTCACATCCGGTATTGCATCATGTTCCCTGCGGACTCCTCGAGGTTATTTCTTTGGGTGGGAGGAGGGGACAGATATGCCACTGCCTTTTCTAATCCCACTTAAGATTCTGAAGCAATTAGAAATGATTTTGAGCAATAGAAAAAGTCCTTAGAGTTTGAAATACACCTGTTTCACAGAATCAAATTTCTCATCATTGAAGTCTTAAGAATGTCTAAGTAACATATGTTTCCTAATGAACATAGCAAAACAGAAGCCAGCTGTTTTGTTTCAAGAAATGAATCATCATTTAAATACTTTAAAAGTGCCACAGCTCCCTTCTTTGCTCAGCTGTCCTATGTGACAAGCTCTGTGGCTTTCTTTTACTTCTACTCCCCCGCCTTAGCTTGCAGGTGTCCAATAGTAATTGCTTAGAACGTAATGTATTCTTCATGCTGGTGGAGGAATTCTCTAAGCTATTTGGTTACAGGAAATAGTGCTAATGTGCTAGCAGTACAATCCAAGAAGCACAAATGACTTGTTATTGCTGTATAACAAATATTTTTGGCTGTCGTTTTAAGAATGTCAAGGTTTTATTATTTATTTTTTTCGCAGAAAATTTCATTTTCAATGGTCAGTCTCTAGGAAGCTCAGACTCTCTGTGGGGACTATCTTTTAGCAGTATTTTTCGGTGATGGATGTATGATCTTGTGAATAGATTGGCTGCACTGATTTATAAGGCACAGAAGTCATATTTCCTTGGATTCATGTCGAAATACCCTGCCCTCAATCAAGAGAATTTTTACTGAGTGAATGAATGAAGGTAGCACTCACAGGCCACATTCCCTCAGAGTGTTTTCAAACCTACTCATCTCTGTCTGTAGATTTTATGTGTATTGTTTTTCTCCCGACAATGGCACATTCACACTGAATCCAAGGTCATCACAATTTCTGAATCGAATGGGAGTGAAACAGCTTTCTGAGTGGGCAAAAGAACCTGTCATCTTCACAGCTAATACAATTAAACCTGTGCATGAGGAGAATGCATTGGAAGTCCATCAGCATTTTAATTTTAAAGCTGTTTGGAAATAATTATTTGGTTAAACTATGACTATACATTATAAAACCCCACCAAAAAATGTTCCTATGGCAGGTTATGTTTGGACACTTAAGAAGACACAAAAAGAGTGGGCCTGAGCCTGAGGCATTTGTCAGAGGGGTCTACAGATTGCTTTCGCCACCTACACGGACATATGAAGCATCTAATTACACACTGAGGCTTGTGCCCTAATTACATTTACCTTGTTACAGCTATTTCCCCTTAATGTGTTCCCTTCCTTGTAGCAACTGCCCCTCGGCAGTCTTCACCCAGAGCAGATTCCAATCCTGCTGCCCGGGTAGGAGGTGGGGGAGGCTGCCCCGGTGGGCTGTCCGGACTGTGCCATGTGCAGCGGCACCTCCCCGACATGCGAACGTCTGACTTGGTCCAAAACCATAGATGTTTTTATTCACTTTGAAAATCGGATTACCTTCTCTCCTTTTGGGCCACCAGCTCCATGTTCACCAAAGTTTCCCTAGGTAAACATAAAACAGGAGATCCACAAAATATTCATTTGTTTTTAATACATTCAATCTCTACATTAAAAAAATATAGATAGATAGATAATAGATAGATAGATGATAGATAGATAGATAATAGATAGATAGATAGATAGATAGATAATAGATAGATAGATAATAGATAGATAGACAGATAGATAATAGTACTGTAACAGTGTCCTAAAGACACCATTTTAATCACTTTTGCCTCTCTCGCCTTCCATGAACTATTCCTGAAAAACTCCACCTGTGGGTCCCGTATCTATCGTCTCTGTGATTTTCCCCTGGGAGATGATTCTGGATAAATATCACATCTCCATGGCTTAAGTACCTACAGTACAGAGACAGACAACTTCACAAACCCAGCGTACATCTCTCTGAGCTTTGACTCATACACATAATTTTCTATTCGATGTCTTTACTTGTAAATTCTAGAAGGAATTCATACTCGGCAGCTTCAAAACTGAATTTAAAAATACAACAAACACACACATGCATATATGGGAGAGAAAGATGTAAGAATTATATCACACTGTTAACATTTGCTAGTCCAGAAGTGGGAAAATGATTAACTTCTTCTTAGTGTAAGTCTGCAGTTTGACTCGTTAAAATGAGTGGTAATTTCATTTTATAATTGAAAAAAATCAAAGAGAGGGAGAAAACCTGAATTCGCCCTCTGCCTTCCACAGGGCGCCTCCTTCTCCAGCGCGGGTGTCCTTCTGACACCGCCCTCCTGCTCTTCCTGGGCAGCGGGTGTCACTGCCCGTCTCCAAACCTCTCCCCACGCCACCGGCCCTCACTCGGGGAAGGCCACCGCCACGTCCTGCCAGGGCCACTGCAGGAGCTCTCCCGTTCGCCCTCACGATCCACTCTTGCTCCCCCCATTCTCTACATAACGTCAGAGTGAGATCTTTAAAAGACATTTTAACTTCATTCCTTCGCAACCTTAACAAAGCCATCCAAAACGGCCATGAACTGGGCTCATTCCCCTCTCCAGCACCGTCTTGGCCACTCTTCCCTCAGGAGTGCCAGCTATAATGGTCTTCTCTCCACTTCTCAAGCGGACCAAGATCCTTCCCATTTCACCCTCTAGATCCCCACTCTGTCCTCGCCTCTGTGCCTGGCTAGCAGCCACTCATCCCTCGGGTCTCAGCTATTATAAAATGCCATTCACGGAGGCCTCCTGTGGGTCTCCCAGACAGGCTCCTCTTTCAATACCTTCTCACTGGACACTGGATTTTTCCCTCATGATACTAACACTTTTATTTTTGTATTTGTTTAAAAAACTGTGTCTCTTGCACTACTATGTAAGCTCCATGCCTAGGGAAGTACCTAACATAGAGGAAGCATTCGATAAATATTTGTTGAATAAATAAGCCAATAATTCCAATTTATGTGTTTTTCCAAGTAAAACATTTTTTTATTATTAAAAATACATGTGTTGTTAGAATAAATTAAAAGTACAGAAATGTTTAAACAACAAAAACACACAAGGTACCCATTCATCAGTGTTGCTATAGTTTAACATCTTAAATGTGCCTTCCAAGCTACTCCAATTAAAAATAGGTAGTTTATAACTAACTGCTGTTATTATTGGTCTCGTGGCAGATATTTTTCCTACTAAACTCTGATCTGAGATGTCTAAATTGAAAATAAAAATTATATTCTCAAAATCCTGAGCTACAAACTACTGCAAGGAAAATGGGGTATGAAACTCCGACACATCCATGCATAAATAATCAGCCCTTATGAAATGTGAGGTTGTTTGGATGCAACCTGCACAGAGACCCACACCTTTTAGGCATTTCCTGAAAATACTAGTCACGTGGAGATGGTGCTAATCCGTGTGCACAACCCATCAGCATATCTCCCTGGCTGTGCTTATGCTAGGACATTTTTGGGGAAGCTGGAACATGCCTTGATCTAAGATGTGAGTTGTCCAGAGATGGTATTTGAATTGGGAGGCCCCATACTCTTGGTTTGCAGAGCAGAAGAGTACTCAGAGTGCATCTGTGAATATATATCACAGGGTAGCACCTTCATTTAGATCCCCCTCCCCAACAACTTAGAGGGTGTCAGAGATGCTGTGGTTGGAATGAAGAAATGCCTCTTCAGCACTAAGTCATATTGTCTTACCCATATACTCTATTATTCTAAAATTTTGATTTCCTGGTGGCTTTCAAACCCAGAAAAACAATAGGGCCAATTGCTGCCTAGCAGAGTACCATATGTCTGCTTCACTCAATAGCTAAGCCAGGAAATCTATCTAATTAAGGACCCTCATGGCCTCTACAAGTGTTTTCCACTCTTGGGCTAACAACACTCAAGGCAGATTCGAACTTGAACTTCAGTAGCATTTATTCATTGACATGTGAGAATCTCCTTTCTACTTTCTCCAAACTAACTGCACCAGACAATTACTTGGCTCTACAGAAATAATAAAACATGTTATTATTATTGTGAAATAATCAAACATTATTATTGTGTTTCTAGAACCTGTAATTCTGCCTCAGATGCTATTCTAATTTGACTAGGTCATTTTGTACCCTGGTGCTATGTTATTTGAATGCGTTCTTATAAGCCTTTTGAATAAATATAATAGCTGAAGGGTTTTGAATGTGTTTATTTAAAAGTTTCTGGTTAAGTGGTGAGGGCTGTAGTTTGGGGAGTGCTAATTGGCCTGCCCATTTCAAGAATTCTGGGATGTCAGAACATGTCCTTTGTTCTCTTGTGGGTAATGGTGAATGGAACTTTGAAATCTACACTCAGGCAAGTGGGAAGACTTTCAAGCTATTCCAATTGCCCTGGAGAGAAGGGAATATACCTGGACGTGTATGGGTTCAACCATAAGAGATGGCCATTTTTATAGGCTCTAGAGTCAAATATCAGCAATTTCCTATGGCTCAATATAATAAAAGGATATGAAACCACTCCCAAGACATGGAGACTTTAAAAATCTCCACAGTTTAGCCCTTGGGGAACTTGCTGTAAAATCCTAAGCATGAGGGAACATAACATTAAAAAAACCCACACATGGATGATCTATTGTGGATTGAATTGTCCCTCCCCACAATTCATATGTTGAAGTCTTAACCCCCAGTACTTCACAATGTGACCTTATTTAGAAATAGGTTCTTTGCATATGTATTTAATTAGGATGAAGTCATATTAGAGTAGGGTAGAGCCCTAACAATATGATTGTGTCCTTATACGAAGAACAAACTTTGAACTAGAGACATGCTCACAGGTAGAAAGCAATGTGAAAATGGGAGTTGTGCCACCACAGGCCAAGTTGTGGAACCACCAGAAGCCAGGAGGGGAGCCTGGAAGACACCCCTCCCTACACCTTCTGAGAGAGCATGACCATATTGACGCCTTTTCTTGCACTTCCAGCCTCCGGAACTGTGAGACAATGCATTTCTGATGTTTAAGCCACTCAGTTTGTGATATTTTGTTACAGTAGCTCTAGCAAGTTAAAGTATAATATGTGGCCTAAGAGGACTGGGCTCTCTTGAAAATGAGACCTAAAGCTGACTCCAAGTTCAACCTCTCAGTTACTTGCAGGAAATCACTTCACCAGCTCCAAGTGTGGTAGACCACAGAGGGGATGGGTGAATCCAGGAGATGTTCAGAGTTCTTTGTAATAAAACTAAGATCCCAAACTAAGATGCATCCTGATGTTCCCCAAAGCTAGTGGACCCTGGATTATAGGGGGAGAGAGGACTTAAATTTTATTTCTCAATCTTCTGGGTCCACAGGGTTGCTTCTGATGTCTCCAAAGAAGTCTTCATTGTGCCATCATTAGGTTCAAAAGACCTTGAATATTTGATTTTAGAGAAAGGTTTTCCATCCTTTCTAGTCTATGAATATTAAAATGAACTTATGATTTGATACTTGAAAGGAAAAGTGGATTGTTTTGCTACCAAATTGGTGGATTTTTTTTTTTTTTTTTTTGGATCAACAATTTGGAGAAGTGAACACTGGAATTGGTTGCTGGGAGGCACAGCATCAATCTCCAACATCTGAGACTGATTCTCCACAAATTTCACTGAGTGTGGTGATGTAAGATAACACAAATGTGCATTTTCTATGTGGATGTATAAAAACAGTATGAAATGTAAAATATGCCAGTCCTTGGCCTCCGCAGATAACACTTTATCCCCCATCTACAGTGCTGTAAGGGGCTCTGGATCTGATGGCTTTAGCAGTTGACAGAGCCTATCAAATTCTTACAAAAATCCCCAGAGCTGGAGACAATGAAGAGCAGTGTGCTGGTTAGTGAGCAGATTTTCCTTGTGGGGAAGAATATGTTCGGCATTGCTGCTTCTTTGCAAACAATCTTGCAGAATGGGAGCAGCTGTTTTGCAAATTATTTTTGTGATGAAGAGGGAACTCTGCTGCCTTTTGTTCTTTGCATCCTCAAGTGGGCATGCAAAAATACATATAAACACACTTGGATAATCTTCTCAACCTTTGTTTCTCTCTCTATTCCTCACTTCCTTTTTTTCTTCTCTATTTGCTTTTTGATTTGTGTGGCAGGGGAGAAGGTCTTTTAGGCCTGACCTTCTCCCTCTGATGACATAAGAAAAATTGTAGGGGGGAAAAAAATCAGCTCTTGTACAGGGCCCAAAGGTGTGTCTGAGTAGCTGCTGCTCATCCGCTGGAGCTGCTTTAAAGCTGAGGAGCTGAGGTTCAGGACTCCAGTGCAGACATTACATAAATCAATGCCAATTTAAAAGGGAAGATTATTTTAACCTTGGAATGTCACTTTTTATATCTCAATACATGGTCCATTATTTAATCTCTGGGAAAGTTTCACTCTGACCACCCCCACTCTCTCTGTGCTCATTTGCTACAGCCAGACCATGGGGCATGCAATGAACTGCAAAATGTAACAGCCTCAGTATTCAAAAATAGGTAGGTGCATGGGGGAGGGGACATTGTCAAGTGAAAATATGCATCTCACTCATCGTGGCACATTTGGTCCTTTCCGCTGTGAAGCTGAAGGTGAGGAGAGGGTGGCTACCATTCAGAGACACTGGTCAGTGCAGGTACTGAGATGTTGAACCTTGCCTCCTCTATCCATCCTGGTGGGACCTCAGTGTAACAGCTCTAACTCTTTGCAGAAGGAACAGAGTGAAGTATTTGGGAAGTGACCTTACATTAATTCCCAGATGGGTCTAAAACCTTCTGATTCTTATAATGCATCATTTGGGGAAGAAAAGCTATGGTCTCCCTTTTTTATCCACTTATGCTCCAGCTCTACAGCCACATTTTGAGCACATCTGAACCAAATATCTGTGAGCCTTTAACCTGTAATGTCAATAAAGATGGCTGTTCTTTTCGGTGAGTTAACTAGCTAAGTTCAAAGTATTGGCTTGCTCTTGGCCTTGGCCGGGTAGCTCAGGGTTTGAGCATCACCCTGATACACCAAAGTTGTGGGTTTGATCCCCGGTCAGTGCACATAGAAGAATCAGCCAATGAATGCATAAATAAGTGGAACAACAAATCGATGTTTCTCTCTCCGCCTGCCTCTCTTTCTAAAAATCAATCAATAAAAATTTTAAATGTTTTTATTGATTTTTTTAGAGAGGGAGGAAGGGAAAGAGAGAGAGAGAAACATCGATGTGAAAGAGAAACACCCACCGGTTGCCACCCATATGTCTGTCAATGCAACCTGGGCATGTGCCCTGACTGGGAACTGAATGGGTAACCTTTTGGTCCACATTATGACACTCAATCAGCTGAGCCACACTGGCCAGAGCAATAAATAAAAAATTTGTTTGAAAAAAAGTACTGGTTTTCTATCAACAAGACTCTCCACCTAGCTGTTCTGGTCAGGCCCCATTTTTTTGAAATTAACCTTAAAGTTTAAAAATTTACATTCTCAACTTTAGACTAAAATATAAATGCTCCACATATCTTCATTTAAGGGAAAACTGACTCATCGGCAAGATAAACTATATATACAAGCAGTGTTAGGAGACTTGTAAAGATACAAGCTTTAAAAGTTTTGCAAGGGACAGCAAATATTTAAGTAGCTGAGTTGCAACTTGGTAAATTTTATACCAAGAATGGAAGTAATACAGTGTGTTCTTTAAGTTTTTCTAGCTGACACCATGACATTAGTGCCAACTCGTTCTCATTACTTTGAAGCCTTTATGATAAATCCTATTTTGTAATAGATATCATTACAAAAAAGCATTGTATTTTATTGATTAATTTTAGACATGCTTCACATATTTTTTTTCACTTGTGCCAAGCCCTAATGTTTTGAAAAAGCTAGATTAGATCTACTCAGAAAATGTTTAATTATACACCAAACATTATTCCTAATGTAATTCTCCCTGGAAAACCTAAGTAAATGAGAAAATTTAAGATAGGATTACTTAGGAAGTGTAACAAACTTTCTATACTCTTGACTTTAAATTCATCAACTACAAATGATCTAAGTCTTTATGTTAAACTTAATCTGATGAAAAAAGAATTGAGATTTAAAAACAAAAGTTTTTATTGATTTTAGAGAGAGAGGGGAGGGAGCTAGAGATAGAAACATCAATTGACTGCCTCCTCCTGCCACCTCTACCTCCAGCACGATCCCTACCAGGGACTGAGCCTGCAACCTGGGCATGTGCCCTGACCAGGAATTGCACCAGGGGCCTAGTGGTGCACAGGATGGTGTGCAACCACTGAGCAACACTGGCTGGGCAAGAACTGGGATTTAAAAAAGGAATTAGCTTGTTATTTAATAAACACTTTTCTGAGCACCTGCTATCTTTAAGGCCTCTGCTCACACATCGTGTCTCTTTGGGATTTCTAAACAAAAAAGGAAGAGCAGTGGTCAGGAATTTACAGGAAGGGAAAGCAGAGGAGTGCCTCCGAATTTGGTTCTGTGTCATGGCACCAGGACTCAGCAGCATCAAATCAATGATAAGCTACTATGTATTAAAGGACCTATGTATATAAATGCCTCACACCAAGTGATCAGGCTCCAAATATTTGTTATTGAATGATGCTGAGCCAATCAGTGGTCTCACACAGGCCCCTGGGTCTTACTTCATAGCCAACACCCACCCTCTGTCATGCTTCCTTGGAGAGTAGGAAACAACTCTGCCTTGCCCTCTGCCTCTCACACGCCTCCATGTCAGAATCCCATCCGTCCTAATTGGAACTTTAAAACCTTGGGCAGGTTAAAAGTGGCTCCTCTCTGGAAGGTGCGGGACCCTCAGTTTTGACCTATGGGATGTAAATATTTGCTTGAGATTTTAGTGTAGCACCTATTGATTTTGATAAGAAATCCATCAGCCATTATGCTACCCAGAGCTTCAAGGTAGCAAATACTCTCTGTCCTCAGAGAAACTAAATATATGACATTATCAATGGTGAAATATCATTTTTGCATTAATTGCTTGCATGAAATTTTGCAAATTTGAAGTACATTTTTTATTTATTTATAAAAGATAATATCCTGGCTTTGAAAAAAGACACTGAGAAAAATACATTTTTGGAAACATTTTCAAAATGGAAAGCTGTTAAGAATATGTGGTCATGTTTCAAAGTCTGAGCAATTAGGAATTAATAAGGTTGTTTGTTGTTGTTTTTTTTCAAAAATATGATCCCATAAAATCTCTGTATATATAATATGTGAAAAAAAAAGGCCATACCTTATTATAATATCCACCAAGAGTCTGTTGTATTCCTTGTGTTCCAGGAGGTCCCTGTATTAGAAACAAATCAAAAATAGAAACCTAAACATTTACCAAAAAATGTGAATTTATATAATATATCTAAGAACCCTTGAAATCTTACAGTTAAGAAGAAGGAAAATATCTGCTTGGTCAAATATTCCAAGTAATAGAGAATTACAGGGGTATTAACACATCAGGTTCCTCAAGGTATTTCTGGGTTAAATCCTGCATGAATCCAGAGAGGTCCTTAATGGGAACATGTAACATTTTACCAGAAGGTCAGCCATAAGCATATTCTTTATTAAAAGGAATTGCACCCATAAAACTCCTCGAGGGAAGAGGTTAGCTTCAGTTTATTTTTGACACTTCTCATAGAGCTTTGATCAATGTACAGTATTATAAAAATGTGGGGCCATGTGTTAACTTAGAAAATGTGGACAAAATATGTTTTCTATTGCTTTACTCTTTTGAATTAGGTGAATATGAGTTGCACATGACTTTCAGGACAGAAAAAGACATCTGCTCTAAGACCTCAGACTCAAGATACTTAAATACCTATACTTTTCAGTTTACAGGGAAATATTCATGAAGCACTATCCTGAGCTTTGGGGAGACAGGAAAGATGTAAAGGCATTTTCCCTCCTAAAACTTCCAAAAAGAGAGCAAGAGAAGAGTTTTTTGAGTTTTTCAGGGATTACACTTTGGGGAGAGGGCCATAAGACAATAAAAAGCTTAATAGTATTTTAAATCAAGCCAAGAGAGACCCAGCTATTTAAAATAAAATAAAAAGACTGCATATTTCATCTAGATCTTGAAAGAGCCTAGGAGAAGATATTATAGAGGCAAAATTCTTTACATTTTAACTCAGAAGATAAGACAAGGAAAGATTATGATTGAGCAAATAAAACATTACTTTTGCACAAAGATTATTTTTTAAAAAGGTAATGAAAGCTTTAAAAAGTGAAGAAACATGTTAAGGAACCACTGCCAGCTGCACTCACTGGCCTAGGTAGCCCCTTAGGTATATTGAAATGTTTAACATTTATGACTGGTATTTCTTCTGAACGACTTGTGACTAAAGATCTCTTCTAATGTGAAACCTTTGCATTGCGCCACTAAGTGTAGAGGACACGGAGATGTAGTGATGGATGTCTGGAAGCAGGTTGGTATAACTCTTAAGAAAATAATAGGCCTCCTGAGTAATGGGGCTGCCTGTGATTGGAAAGACAAATGGTGCTGTTACCTTGCTGAAGTAAAAACAAAGCTAATGTCAGAAAAGAACTCTCATCGCATTACATACTGTTTATGTTTTTTTCCTGCCAGCAGCTCTGGTAGAGTATCCTAGGTCAGTTAGATGAAGTAATGAGGAGAGCAATCAGAGCTGGAGGTTGTTGCACAAAGTTTCCAGCCAAGAAGATGCAAGTTAGAAACTCATTCTTGGAGCTCATGAGACATAAGATTCCATATACATTGATCCGTTTGCAATTATATAATGAGGTAAGGAGTTTTAGATACCACATGCAGTATCATTAACAGGTAGCTTAGGAATATATGCATAGTAGGTGCTTGGAAAATGGTGAATGTGTATTAATAATGCCAATTAGATAAAAGAATAGTGATGTGGTGGGTAAATTTAGTTTTATACACATTCATTCTAGTTAAAATGGGACTCTTATAATTAGGGATCCCAAATATGACAGAACAATTAACAATACAGTCTCTCAAATAGAGCAGAAAAATTAATCAAATAACAATAGCAAATATATAGTGCTTATTGTATGCCAGGTATTATACCAGGGGCTTTATAAGGATTAATTCATTCAATCCCCACAATAACACCAGCAATACAGAAAATTAGGCTTAGAAATTGTTAACAGGCCCAAGATCACACCACTGGTAAATGGGAGGGGCTCATATTTAATGTAGGCAGTGTGGGCCCAAACTCAGTTCTCATCTACTCTCCTCTACCATCTTAAGTTAAAAGCAGATGCTCAGCACTAAAATAATTTTTGTAGTATTTTTTTGTCATGCTGACCATGCCCTTGGGAATACTGGGTGATTACTCTTCCATGTTCTACGCCCCATACTGAGACTGAAAAAAAAAAAAAAATCAACAAAACTTGTACTCAGCACTTCTCAGGAGCCAGCACTGTGCTTGAAGCAGGAGGGGAGGAAACCAGCACATTGCCGTTAGATGTAGTCCTACTGGAGAGCTGACAGAGTCCCCTCTCTCTGTTCCTCGAATCCCCCATCTATCTGCATACAAGCTCTCAAGACATGATAGGAAGATTATGTCTGGGTATTGCAAAAACTTCCTCTAAATCCACAACTGTACTAAAAATGCATCCTATCTTTGTTTGCAGAGGTTGGGAGAGCAGGTAGTCAAAGAATATAAGAAACAGGAGCCTTCAAAGGGGCTGTGGAAGGGAGTAAAAGAGTCAGAACAGCAAACAGGGTGATGGGGGTTGCCTGGCACAGAACAGGTAACAGTATGGATGAAAACAGTAAAAATAATAGGATGGTGGGAATTTTTTAAAAAATGGGGTGAGAATTAGGTCTGATCTTTTTTTGTTTTGTTTTGTTAATACTCACCTGAAGATATTTTTTCCATTGATTTTTAGATAGTGGGAGGGAGGGAAGGAGAGAAAGAGAGACAGAGAGACAGAGAGAGAGAGGGAGAGAGAAACATCGGTGTGAGAAAGACACATTGATTGGTTTGCCTCCTGCATGCGCCCGGACTGGGCCAAGGATGGAACCTGCAACCCAGGTACGTGCCCTTGACCCACGACACTTTGGGGCATGGGCCAATGCTCTAACCACTTAGCCACACCGGCCAGGGCTGGGTCTGACCTTTTACAGACTGGTTATCTGCCTACGACATAGAGGTGTATTCCATAAACACAGAATATATTCCTCATCTGGAATCCTGATCTGGCTGTCGAGTTCACCATTGGGAGTAGGGCAGGAGAGCTCAGTGCAGCTCCTATCTCTAAAAACAATAGCAAGAGCATAGCTCACTGAACAGAGCCACTGGCCAAGAGAAAAGTTTGAACAATATTATTCAGATACCCACTAGATTAATAAACCCTCTCAAAGTTACTGCCACATTTTCATATATTATGTTCTTGCCATAAAATGTCATATCCACAAAGCAGTGCTCCAAATGGGGTCAATCTGAAATTTTAGGCTCTACTGCTTAATCGACTGATGAGCATTTATGATAACATTTTCTCCCTTGTTCTTTGAGTCACCGGGATACTTTGGGTACCACAAATTTCAAGTTTAAGGTAACAGATTTATAGCTAACAGTCTACCCTGCAGGCAATACTTTACACACACTCTCCCAGAGGGCTGAAGAAACCCTGCAGCGACTGAAAGACGACACCAGAACAGAGTCCTCGGGCTGTCTACCTGTACACTGACTGCGGTCAGTACAGCAGTGACTCACTGGGTTGTCCTCAAACTGTCAGAAACAAACAACCTCAATCAATGCAGAGATAGTCACCACAGAGAAACACTATGCACATAAATGCCAAGAGCAACTCTTGTTTACTGTTAGAAAAACAATATAGACCCTGGGGTCTTGGAATTGGTGGCTGCCCTATTAGCCACACTCCCCAAGAGACGTGCTATTGTGTTATTTTCTATTCTGGGACAAATGCATAGTTGGAGAAGATCCAAGGAGTCATTTGTTTGCTAGTTTAGCAAGGGCTGTCAGTCTTGTAAACTATCAATCAACTCTGAGGAAGGAGAAGCTAAAGACTGGTGATAAGTGACAGGTCTCTCAGCATCACGCAGTTTTAGTAGATGCTCCAGGGCATTTGGGAGGTCACTTTCTCTGAGGTTTGCAATTATAAGGACTTGTCAAAAAGATGCATCGATGACCCAGGCCGAATGGAGAAGAGAGGCCAGCGATGGAGGGCACATCAGGCTTTGACTAATGCTTGCAGGAGCTCTACTAGGAAAGCCATTTGAAGGTGTATAGAAAGGAAAAATGTCCCAAATCTGACTCATGATAGTGACTTGCAACATAGCAGCAATGCAGAAATCTTGGCTATGGAGTGTCTGTGTTTTATGCAGTTCTGCTTCACTCTGTTTGCATTGGGTTGGGAGACATGAGCCATCAGGGTTAATGTGATGGGTACACAATTGTAGAGCAGCTTTAAAATGCTCATGAGCTCCAGGGAGACCCAGCTGTTCAGAACCCAGCTACACCTAGGGATGATTCTCTGAGAGGCCTATACACCTGGTGGCTAGAGACCCTGGTGCTGTTTCCTACTGCAAAGAACCATATCTAGCTGAAGAAGCGAATTAAAGCTACGTTCAGTTTGGGAGTGTATATGCTCAGCAATAGTTTAAGGAGGTTTTTTTTTTTTTCCTCCTTTTTTCTAAAATCTTGCTAGATAAAGGTGGAAAATGGAGAAATATGATGTCTGCCACCAGCGTCTTCAGATGGGTAGTGTGAAAATGAGGAGTTGTTTGCATTTTCACCCCAAAGGGACTTTGTAGATTTCAGTCTGGGCTACATATTCCTTACATTTAAAAGATCAAAGCACCCTCAGTTAAAAACCATACTTCCTCAGTCCTGGTCCTGGCTGCATTTTCATTTCCTGCCCGTTGACGTAGCACACTTAGCTCGAAGAACTCGACTTTGGCCTTTTTTTCCTTCCCTGGTCTTTGCTCTAAACTCTCTGTGCAAGTCAAGGCTCGGGTCCTCGGATTCAGCTTTAGCACACCCTAGGTCTTCTGAACCAAGACCTCCGTGGCTCCTCGGTCAGCTACTCCGCTCCCTCTCCGAGCCTCCTTCTGGAACTATTTTCCTTCCTCCCTTCTCTCTAGACGCACCCTTTAGTCCTTCACGCTGCTGTGTAGCCTCCTTGAGCCATCCAGTGCCACTCTCTGCAGGCACCACAGCTCTTCAATCCCTTACCAGGAACTCCTTTCAGGATTCACAAATGCACATTTTTAGGTTACACATAAGCGCCTTCTGGCCACATGGGTTTCCAATTAACTTC